TATGTATTTCTTTTTAACTTGTAATCTTTTAAATTAAAGTCGATTTTATTACAGCAAAACTGTGTTTTACATTCAAAACTGTGTTATTAGTGAACTCTTTTGGAGTTTCCTCCTCATCTTGAGTTTAACATATCTGTAATAAAGATTTGAGATTTTTATGTTCCTAAAACAAAAATATTTGGTCTGTTGATCCGCAATTCTAATATTGATTTCACTACTGTAACAAAGCTATTGTATGATGAACAAAGGCCTTATATTTGTTAAACATCAAAGTTTCTTATATGCCGAAGGTCAGGCTCATAGTACATAATTTGTCATTGCTGGGAATATCATGTTTCTCTTTCATTTTTTTAGCTCACCTGAGCTGAAAGCTCAAGTGAGCTTTTCTGATCACATTTTTGTCTGTCGTCCATCTGTCCGTCCGTCTGTAAACTTTTCCCATTTTCGACTTCTTCTCCAGAACCACTGGGCCAATTTCAACCAAACTTGCCACAAAGTATCCTTGAGTGTGAATTCAAGTTTGTTCCAATAAAGGGTCACACACCCTCTTTCAAGGGGAGATAATTAAGAATGAGTGAAAATTTGGTGGTATCTTTTAAAAATCTTCTTCTCAAGAACCACTGGGCCAAAAAAGTTGAAACATATGAAACCTTCTTTACATAGTGTAGATTTAAATTTATACAAATCATGACCCCCGGGGGTAGGGTGGGGCCACAATGGAGGATCAAAGTTTTACATAGGAATATGTAGGAAAAATCTTATCAAGAACAGCAAAGCCATGATTAGTCAAATTTAATATGAAAACATCCTCAGGTAGTGAAGATTCAATTTTGTTCAAATCATGACCCCCAGGGGTAGGGTAGGGATCAAAGTTTTACATAGGAATATATAGGGAAAAATCTTCAAAAATCTTCTTAAGAACAGCAAAGCAATGATGAGTCATATTGATATGGAAGCATACTCAGGTAGTGTAGATTCAAGTTTGTTCAAATCATGACCCCTGGGGATTGGGCCACAATGGGGGATCAAAGTTTTACATAGGAATATACAGGAAAAAAATCTCTTTTCAAGAACAGCAAAGCCATGATTAGTCATATTGATATGGAAGCATCCTCAAGTATTGTAGATTGAAGTTTGTTCAAATCTTGACTCTGGGGGGTAGGGTTGGGCCTCAATGGGGGATCAAAGTTTTACATAGATTCTTGTAAGAAAAAATCTTCTCAAGAACAGCAAAGCCATGGTTAGTCATATTGATATGGAAGCATCCTCAGATAGTTTAGATTCAGATTTGTTCAAATCATGACCCCTTGGAGATAGGGGGTAGGGGATCACAATAGGGATAAAAGTTGTACATAGGAATATATAATAGATAAAAATCTGCTGCTGAAGAACAGCAGGGCCGTATTGACTCAGGTGAGTGTTGTGGCCCATGGACCTCTTGTTTTTAAGGATGATAGTCCATTAATTCATGAAACTTTATTGAATATTGAGCTGGTGAATATACATGTATGAGACTATAAAGTGACCTCTCCAGAGACTTCTGTTTTGACATATAGCGGTGCTTCCTGTCATGTAAATAATAGCCTGGGTATATATTTTATTTATTTTTAATTTTTTTATACTATAAAAAATTTCTTTAAATTAAGCTTTAGAATATTTTTTGTGCTTAATATTTTAATTAAACAAGCACACAGTTATCTTTTTCATTGAAAATTTATACATATATAATCATTACATTCCACAGATATTTCTTAAGTTTCTAGTCATTGGCAGGAAGAATTTGTGTGCCATGTCAAATGTGTAGATTTTAATCTCTCTGTTGCATATACTGTATGATATACTCAGCAAACCCATTATGCTATTAGCAATCTGTACAGCAAAAGTGTCACATTTTGTTGAGAAGGTCAAGGTAAATACATATTCAGTGCTATGTCACAGTAAGTACAATTCATGTTTTTAAGAATAATTAACAGCAGCAATACATAGATGAAGAATCGGAAAGATTGTTATTTTACCTGAAACTGTGTATTAAATAAAGTTCTTAGAATGAAAGTTTAGTTTCTGTTATGTTTGAAGGTTTGGAATGACCTAAAATTGTTGATGGTAGCAATTACATTAAATATTCCAAGGTTTCTGATTTTTAGCTCACCTGAGCCAAAGGCTCAAGTGAGCTTTTCTGATCAAAATTTGTCCGTTGTCTGTCGTCGTTGTCGTTGTTGTTGTAAACTTTTCACATTTTCATCTTCTTCTCAAGAACCACTGGGCCAATTTCAACCAAACTTGCCACAAAGTATCATTGGGTAAAGGGGATTCAAGTTTTTTTCAAATGAAGGGCCACGCCTTCTTCCATAGGAATATATAGGAAAAATCTTTAAAAATCTTCTTCTCAAGAACAGCAAAGCCATGATTGGTCATATTTATGTGGTAGCATCCTCAGATAGTGTAGATTCAAGTTTGTACAAATCATGACCCCTGGGGGTCGGGTGGGGCCACAATGGGCGATCAAAGTTTTACATAGGAATATATTGGAATAATCTTTAAAAATCTTCTTCTCAAGAACAGCAAAGCCATGATTGGTCATATTTATATGGTAGCATCCTCAGATAGTGTAGATTCAAGTTTGTTCAAATCATGACCCCTGGGGGTCGGGTGGGGCCACAATGGGCGATCAAAGTTTTACATAGGAATAAATAGGAAAAATCTTTAAAAATCTTCTACTCAAGAACAGCAAAGCCATGATTGGTCATATTTACATGGAAGCATTCTCAGGTAGTGTAGATTCAAGTTTGTTCAAATCATGACCTCCGGGGGTCGGGTGGGGCCACAATGGGCGATCAAAGTTTTACATAGGAATATAAAGGAAAAATCTTTAAAAAATCTTCTACTCAAGAACAGCAAAGCCATGATTGGTCATATTTATATGGTAGCATCCTCAGATAGTGTGGATTCAAGTTTGTTCAAATCATGACCCCCGGGGGTTGGGTGGGGCCACAATGGGCGATCAAATTTATACATAGGAATATATAGGAAAAATCTTCTTCTCAAGAACAGCAAAGCCATGATTAGTCATATTTACATGGAAGCATCCTCAGGTAGTGTATATTCAAATTTGTTCAAATTATGACCCCCGGGGGTCGGGTGGGGCCACAATGGGCGATCAAAGTTTTACATAGGAATATATAAGAATAATCTTTAAAAATCTTCTTCTCAAGAACAGCAAAGCCATGATTGGTCATATTTATATGGTAGCATCCTCAGATAGTGTAGATTCAAGTTTGTTCAAATCATGACCCCCCCCCCCCCCCCAAAAAAAAACCCCCACTTTTTTATTTAAACTTTTCAACCTTTCAAGACTGAACTGATTTCTGCTTTTTCCTAGCCATAGTGCTCAGGTGAGCGATGTGGCCCCTGGGCCTCTTGTTAATTGGTTTCAATTGCTGTACATATGCAAATTTGCAGGAAACAAAGTTTAGTTTAGAGTAATTTTTTGTTCCTTCAAAATAGCTGCATGATGTTTCATCTATGATCAAGTTTCAATCTAGGGGAAACAAAATATTAGAGTATACATGTACGTGTATTTTGATTTTCAGTTTCATAATTTGTTTACTCCCTTAGAAATTAGAGATTTGGAATTTTAAAACATGTATATTTATTTTCAGGGATACGCTTGGTTCTTATAGTATTTTTGAATCTATTAGATATCAACTCAACTTTGCAGATATTTGTCAACGTCCCAGAGATGTATTCACATCATTCTGCAAAATGTTAAGGGTATTAGTCTATTTTGATATTGAACTGCTATTAAACTGATACCAGTCCAACATTAAAATTATTGGCCTGCTTAATGTCACATCTATTTGAAGTCAATTTCCAGGGTATTTATAACCCAAGGTGAATGCACATGAGTTGTTTATGGCATATATTTCAAGCAGGAAGAGGGTAAATGAATGATGAATTTTTAAATTACAACAATTTCTTAGTAAAATTTCCATTTCATGTCAAGATGAATGACTTTTTAACTTTTTCTTCAGGATACACACTATAATTACTGCATACAGAATTCAACATTTAAATGTTAGTTCCAAACCATTTTTAATGCAATAGCATTTGCTGGTGTGACACAGATGTATGTTGTGGCTCATATGCTTCGACTCATTATATTAGCCTGATTATTACTTCTGATTAAGACATTGATGTGGTATTTATTGACTGCGGACATACACTTTGTCTTTTAACAGTTTTTGAAATTGACACTGGTGGTTTGTCAGGCAGAGGGACAATCCAACACAAGTTATATTAATGAAATAAGAAGATAATGAATAGCAATCAAGCTCAAGGTCCATTGAAACAATACAAATTTGGAGCAAAGCAAACGTGGACCTCTAAAAACATCAGACCCTGGGGCCATAAAACTTAGTCAAGCTCAGTTTTGATCTCAGTCTCACTTTTCCACTATAAATTCCTTCGGTAAAATTGAGATTGAGATCAAAAGTGAGCTCTTCTAAGTTTTATGGCCCCAGATCCTGAAGGGGGATCAGGCGCCATAGAAGAGCAAACCCCCCCACCCCCACCGCATGCTCCCTGCCATGATCAGGCAAACTAAAAAATCAATCCATAGACAATCCAGTCTGAAAATAATGGCCTAACAATTTATATGAAAAGGGTCAGTCAACAATTAACTTAATGATAGATTGCACTTTGCTGATAAGGTCATTGTATCAACCATAGAATTTGCAAAATGTTGACTTTAAACAAGACTGTTGATATTCTTGTTTCATCAACTTATTTGTCAATAGTTTGCCTCATTTTAGAAATTGCTCGTATGTAGAGCATGCTCTTGCATATCAAATCAACTGGGAGACATAAACTCCATATGCAGGTGATAATGGTTAATTAAGGGAAGTTGATAATAGAAAAGTTGGAAGTAATCACATATTTCTTTGTCCTCCAGTTGATTAACTGACATCTTAATATGCCAACAAAAACAAATTAGCAAAACAAAACCAAAAAAATCACACTTTTTAATTAAATGATAAAATCTATACAAAATATTTTTTGTGTATATAGATACATGATTCAACAAGAGATGTTTATGAAACACTTATGCCCCCCCCCCCCCACAAATAATTGAATTTTTCTAAGTCCAAGAGACATAACTCTGTCAAAAATTGCTCGATAGAACTTGATCTAGATATTCATATGATACATCTGTAAAACAAAATTTCATTTCATTATGTCCAACCTCTGTGAAGAAAATGAACGGAAACTGCAAATAATTGGAATTTTTCAAAGTCTAAGGCGCATAATTCTGTCAAAAATTGCTTGATCGTACCCAAAACAAAACTTGACCTAGATATTCATATGATAAATCTGTAAATTAAATTTCATTTCAGTATAAGCAACCTCTGCAAAGAAAATGAACGGAAACTGCAAATAATTGGAATTTTTCTAAGTCCAAGGGGCATAACTCTGTCAATAATTGCTTGATTGTACCCAAAACAGAACTTGACCTAGATATTCTTATGATAAATCTCCATACAAAATTTCATTTCAATATGAGCAACCTCTGCGAAGAAAATGAACGGAAACTGTTGGTGGACCGACAGACAGACAGACTGACCAACAGACAGCAGCAAAGCAATATGCCCTCCCTTCTTCGAAGGGGGGCATAAAAATCATTATTATCATATTATTTCAAATGACTATTAGAACAGTATTGCACAAGTACATATAAATAAAGCAAGCAAAGAACAAGTCATGAAATCAACAACATGTGAATAAAAAATTCTTCTCCTCAAATGTCAGAATCTCTTAAACATTTTATCTTGCCAGTTCATAAGCGGGGGTAAGATAATTTTTTGGCACCAGACCAAATTTTCCATTGAGTTCTGCCACCCACCAGCTTTTGTCATCAAACTTTCGGCTAATGATGTACAGTTTATCACCACGTTTGAAGGCCAGTTCATTATTGCGATCAGCCCTGCAGTCATATTTACCCAAGAACATGTTTTCGTAATCCTGATCAGGTGGAATCTGGGGCTCGGCGTTTTTCTCGGGCTTGGTCTCTATTGGCACTTCTGGAGGAGGAATACTTGGTGCTGGAATGCTTGGAAGAGGCTTGTGTGTGGATGGTGGTGGGGTAGGAGGAACAGCAGGGAGAGGCTTCTTGGATCCAGGTATTTCAGGTAAGGATCTAGAAGGAGTGGGGGGTGGTGGTGTGGGGGGTGGTGGCTGTTGACCTGTCATACAATCATCATATTCCTCTTGAACATCATCTGGGTTGACAGTATCATCATAAATCTCGTCACAGGTGGGCTCGTCTGGGGGAGGTGGGCGGGGAATGGAGGGGGGGCCTTTGTTGACAGGTTTGGGGGGAGGTTCTGGCTCTTCAAGTGTGTCATCATACAGTTCCTCTGGAGCTGCATTGTCTGCATTGTCCACATCTTCATAAACCTCTCCTGGTTCATCATCATCTGTTAGTAATTAATAAAATTAACAGAAGATTGTATTATATGAATGGAATTCTTAAAAAAAATTAATCCACTGAATTCAATTTGACAAAACAATTGTCTTACAATATTTGTTATGCAAATGTTTTTTTAATCACTTTAGGTTGTTTTTTGTTTACTGACAATAAAAGGTTATATAATTATCATATTAGTTTTTCGGGTAGCCATTTGTTGTAAACTTCTAAAACCTGGAGTAATGCTTTAACTTCAGATGAACTCTGTATCTTACTTAGTATGTTATCCTTGGAGGAAGCACTGAGAGCTCCTTTCATTATGGCAACCTTCCAGTCTTCATAGTCTTCCTTAGACTGAGCAACAAACTAATAAAAAAAAGAAGCATTTAATTAATCAAGCATGAATCTCAGAAACAGTCACAGAAATTTTTTAAGTGCATTTAAATCAAACCAGAAGTCTCTGATGAGACTGCAGCTCTACTGGTTTGTACTTATAATAAGAGAAAAGCAGCTGAGCACATGGACTTGAAACTTAGTAGCAATGGCAACACCAATGAATAAGAGGTTAAGTTCACTTGTGAACCAAATTTCATTAAATTCAAACCAAAAACATTGGAGAAGTAAAAGTTTTAACAAATTCCAACATTATCTTATTTTTACTAAATATTGCAAGTTGCAAAATTTTTCATCTAAATCAAAACCCAATTAACAGAACTACTGTAGATTCCTTAATATACATGAGGAATAAATTATCGCTTAATTTCAGGAGAAGCATCACTCCTATTCACTTGGGATATAAAATTACTCACTTTTATTTTCATGGCACTTAAATCCATGTAAAATCTCTTGATCATCTGCCCAATCACAAATTGTTGTTCTCAGGATTTGAAGTGTATGAGACATTTCCCAATATTAAATACAGGTACTCGCATTAAAATAAGGAATCTACAGTATGTATCTTAGAGTAGTCTACTTGTGTACTAAATTATATATCAAAATTAGACCAAAACTGTAGGAAGAGTAGCTTTTTGAAAGAATTTCACAGAAATTTCAATTATTAGTAATCATGGCAACACCGTTCATTGAAATCAAAAACTGAATCAGATATACAGAATTTTGTATCATAGTATAAACTTTAACATACAAAGTCTTACTGAAATCCAAACCAAAACTTGTAGGAGGAGTAGCATTTTGAAAGAATTTCACAGAAATTTCTATTTTTAATTATCATGGTAACACTATTCATCAAAATCAAAAACTGATATACAGAATTATGTATCTTAGTATAGTCTTCTTCAGTACCTAGACTTTATTGAAATAGGACCAAAACTGTACTGGGAGTAGCACTTTGAAGAGTGATTTACAGACAGACAAACAGCTTGTTAGACAGATGAATGACAGATGCCTTACTAATGAATAAGCTCTTTTCCAGTAAAGCTAATGAAAATGTACAAATATATCTGGGATTAAAATCAAAACTTTTACCTGGTACGTTCTTTTTGCAGGACAGACTAGTTGAAATCCCAGCTCCCGTCGAGCAGTGTCCTTTTTATCCACGACATCAGGAGCATCCTCCACAGTATATCCATTCAAGTAAAATGCTCCGTGCTGTTTACGTTCCTTGGCAGATTCATAATAATAGAAAATGTTGTTCTTGATGGCACACCATCGCTTCTGTAGTTTTGGACCACTAAATAACAGTTTTCCTGGTCATAGAGAATGATCACGTTAAAAACAAAACAATGTATCATAGCCATGTTCAGATTTGATGTAAGAAAGATGAAGCAGTTTACCTTTCTTTTGTTTTTTCTCCAGGAATCCACATTTGAATGTGTCTGTTAGCTCCTGAGCAGGAATAGCTGGGATATCTGGAATAACAAAACCATAGTCAAAGACTAAATACACCAAAACCAAGTCAATAGACCAACTTAAGATTCAAAAATAAAAAAAGCTCAGTCTGACATTTTATATTTTTTAAGTCACCTTAAGTCAGACAACAGGGAAAACAGCTGTCACACTATTCAAATCATATAACTCACAACGTATCTTTCTAAAGGCAACATCATGTACATTTGGCAAATACAGTAATTACAGGCTAGGAAATATGGTTCATAGCAGCATAAAACATGACTGATAGTTTTATACCCTGATTTATCAGCAGTGGTCAGGACTTAGTTGCCACATATGATTTCTCCTGCTTCATAAATGTCTAACATAGGATAATACTCACTTCTTCAGTAAAAAATAAACTCTCCTGAACTTTTTTTTTTTTTGGGGGGGGGGGGGGGGGGGGGCTAAATACATGCATCTTCATGCAAGCACTAGTGATTCCTTCCATTATAAGTCTGAAGTGCACTAATTTAAAACTTCTCCATCCACAATCAAAGTCACAAAGCATGCATTCTTACTGGCATCTCCATACTGGTCATCATCATCAGCATTTGAACTACCTCCTGTCCTTGTTGATTCATCAGTAAAACTTAGGTCACCTGTAAATACAAACATGTTAGTTAAATGTACATAAATTTCTAGTGGCCGTCTCTGTTTTGAAAGGGAATTGAAAAAAAAATTAATAATTTTGCAGTACAACATTGATGCAAATCTGCTGCTGCATGGATTCATATCATGCATTAAAATATATCTATATTTAACAGTGCAACTGATTTGAAGTTAAATTGTTGCTTAATGTCTCACCAAGAATATTTCCTTGATATAGATAAATTCTTTGCAATTAATAAAACTTTTTTAAGAAAGCCACACTTTTTTTTAATTATCTGAAATATTATGAGTTTTGAGAAATAATGATTGCCTAACTCTGAGTAGAACTGTACCAGTGGACCTCTAGTTACAATGTGAGACATATGCACTAGAAACAGCTTTCAGATTTTTCTGAAATGATGCCAATTCAATTTTCTAACAGAAGGTAGAGATATGGAACAGTATTTGAATTAAGTCATAACTGAAGGTAAAAATTTTATAATACATGTAGAAACAAATTGACTTTTAATTATAAAGTTATCTCCACTCCTCCTTAAAGAATGTGAGAAAACTCAACATGTCACAATCTATTCTCTCCCAATGACCTTAAATTTATTTTAATTAAGATCCATAAACTATAACCCATACAAAGGAAAAAAAAACATGCAGTGTAATCATATACTTAAAGTATAAATGTTATGCCCCATGTTAAGAAGATAAACACATATTTAAAACGTGCAAACTTTGAATAAGTATCATAATGGCATTAAAAAAAATATTACCAATTGTATAAACTTAATATATAATTTTATAAAGCAATTCATTCAAATTGAAGAACTGGATAACAGTTTGCATAGGGTAATGAGCCCTCTTCCAACCATATAAAATTTATGACCCCTGGGTGCAGCTAGATTAAGGCTTCAGAGTGGGAATACATTAGGCCTATAGAAATTAAAAAAAAAAAACTTCTTGACTCCTTTCTATTAAATTAATACCCAATTACTCAGGCCTTTTATTTCAATGTTCCTCAATTTCTTTAATAAAAAATAAGCCAAGCATTGTAAGACTTAATTCCTTTAAAATTAAAATAGGAAAAATAAGTAACCCATGTCCTTCAGCTTCACAGCTTACCCAAGAAAGACAATCTGTACATCCATCGTTTTCTTAAGGTGCCATGAACAGCAGTATCTTTAGATATTACACATCATGTTTAATTAAACTTATATCAGTAATATCAACATTTAGGTTTAATCTAAAAAGAAATTAATATTTTCTTGTTGCCACTATTGAAATGAAAATAAAAACATCAACACTTTTCCCAGTCTATTATTTTATTAAAATTGGCATAGAAATTAATCTATCATTCCTGGAAAAATAAAATGTTACACATTTTACAATACTGCAAATGTAGTAAAATTTAGACATGTGTTAATATGCAATTGAACTTGCACACTAGTTTTACAAATACATGCACAAGTCACTCAAGTCATACACACACACAAATAAATAAATAATAATAATAAAAATTAAATATTATATTATCATATATTCCATCATTTAATGGAAAATAATACATGAAAATGATTTTACTACATTGCACCACTTTTTATGAATTTCGTTATCAACTTCAATGAACACATTCATGTTTAACAACAATGTTAAATATATATGCAAAAATATCACAGAATTGCTGCATATTCTATCACAGTCGGAAGGTTTTAAAGAAATATTTAAATACATCTCGTCAAAAGATTTTACACTTTTTAATACTTCTTTTCTTCTTGACTTGTAAAGCCGCTCGTGTGGCAGTCTCGAACACTTTTCGAACACCTTCCTGTGTTTTCGCGGAACACTCGATAAACGCAAAAGCGCGAATTTGTTCCGCAATAGCCTGTCCTTCCTGAGCTTTCACTGGCTCCTTCTTCTCCTGCTCCAGTTCTTTAATCACTTCCGGGTCAGTTCGGGTGTCTTTTTTATTTCCTACCAGAACGATGGGTACGTTGGGACAGAAATGCTTGACCTCGGGGGTCCACTTCTCCCTGATATTGACCAGACTGTCGGGGTTGTCTATAGAGTAACACATAAGAATAACGTCAGTGTCGGGATAAGATAATGGGCGGAGTCTGTCGTAGTCCTCCTGACCTGCCGTGTCCCACAGGGCCAGTTCTACTTGTTTATTATCAACTTCAATGTCCGCAACATAAGTCTCAAACACTGTAGGAATGTACACATCGGGGAACTGGTCTCGACTGAACACCATCAATAAACACGTTTTCCCCGTAGATCCATCCCCAACTATCACCAATTTCTTCCTGACTTCCGCCATTCCAACTTCAGAGAATTCTTTCTTGGGTCGCATACAACACAAAGACATCTGCTGTTTGTTTATGCAATTGCTAACCGCTGTTAGGCTGTGTTTTTTATATACCTGTGTTGCCCTGTTCTATATTTAGTATTCCAAATTTAAATGCCCCGTGATTGGCTGGTTATTTCGGAACCTTACAGGTGTGTTGATTGTGTGTATATATTGTACCTATCTATTTCGAGTTCACCTATTAATTTACAGTAAGTACTTCTACGCGGTGATATAAAAATTACAAGTAAGCTAGGGTTTTATCAAATGCAAGATGCATTTCTAATATTCTATCCCGAAAATACAGAAATAATTTAATTTTTATCAATTGAAATAGAATACACGTGTGTTGATTTTTAATAATAAATACATTTTTAAAAGTTATACTTTCCTACCATTATTTTGTATTTTGCTGAGTGAAATTTTTACCTCTTGTGCTTATTAGAGACCAATAGTACTTATACACGCACGTAAAAGGTTCACTACACTGATATCTAGCTCTCTCTCTCCTTATAAAATAACTCCATTTATTCTCTTCGTATGTAGTATATCCCTTTCTATAGCTTTATATGTGTATACATCATAAAGTACATCATATGTACATCATAAAGTGCAAACCAGTATAAACATCTCGTACTTTGTAGAAATAAGCATTTTATTTCACTCCTCAAAGTCATCAAGACATACACTTATCTTACAAACAAAAGCATACAATTTTAAACGCCTAATACAACTTACGATACACAACATCTGTAAGTGCCACTTTGTCTTATTTTTTTTTAAATAGTTACATGTAAGTTAAAATTGTGTGCACGATATAATGCGCTTGAAAAATAAGCTTATGAATGAAAGTTACCCCGAAAGTCAAACTGGGGAAAAATTCAAACCAAATCTGTAATTAAAGTTGCACAATTTTTTTTAATGAAGTGAATATTGTGTTGTGTGTGAAAGGTTTACCTGCTTTTGTGTCTTCAGTTGGTTTCTCCGGGGCTAACTGGGTGAATTCCTCCCGCAGTCTCCCAATCTTGTCAAGGATTGTCTGTTTGTGGTCCTTGGAGGACTTTGATAAGGCTTCTTTCTTTATAGTTTCTACCAGAAACTTTTCCACATCTGTAATCAAGAAATCATATCTGATTTTAATATTATTGAGAGGGGGGGGGGGTTCAGTTTAATTTTTAATAATTTAAATGCAGTAGTTATCATGCTATACAAAGATGGTAATGAGAGAGAGAGAGAGAGAGAGAGGCTTGTTTCACTTTCAATGATTCAATTGCAGTAACTAACAGTTATCATTCGAATTCAATTCAAAAGTACACGGCACAAAAGTCTTAATTATTTGAACGTACCTGACTGATAAATATTAGGTACAGTATTGTTATGAGTTATTGGTCAGGGCTGTGGGGAATCAGAAATGGGGGAGGGGGTCGGACCTGATTTGACTTGAATTTCAGATGACTTTTTTTCGTCATCAACCTTAAAGCATTGTTTGAAATAAAACAAAATTATATTTTTATGTCTCCGTGAATGAAATGTAGTTATGCATACAACTTTCAAAATGACTGCTATTGTCATGGAAACAGAGGTAGGTGAGTTCGGGGTGATATATGCTCTTGCTTTCAACTATAAAGCTTTGTCTTTGTGTATTTTATTAAAATTATATATATATATATATATATATATATATATATATATATATATATATATATATATATATATATATATATAAGTAACACCCCTTTAAAAAAACCAAAAAAATATTTTGCAACAAAATATTTGCACCATTAATCTGTTTGAAGTACTGTTTCTAGATCGTTTTCTTAAGTATTAAGAAAAAGCTTCAAAATGCACCAGAACTGACAGAAATGGTATTGCTCTTTTATTTTATAAAACATCTGGTTTAGGGAAGGAGTAGTCCTTCTATACTCTCCCTCGTATAGCCTTTTCTGAAACCTGAGAAAAGCCCCGAACGCCTCGGCACAATGTGTCCATGGGTAGGGTGTAAACTGGTTAACCGTGTAAACTCGGGATGAGTATCGACTTGTGTATTAAGATACGAACTGATATGTATCACTTCTCATTTTCGTTCTATAAAAGTTTTTTTTTTAAAATATCTTTTCAAAAGTTTTCATGCAATATTGACAGGAATAAATGTATTCTTCAATCTACAAATAAAATCTTTAGCCTATAAGGAAAAAATATACAAAATTCTATTTCTCAAGAAAATAATACATGTATTACATTTTGTAAAGCAGTTAAATAGCGTATTTTTTTTTAAGTGTATGAAAAAAACTGTATTCCAGATTACCGACTTCAAGTAAAACGCATCACGATATATCGGTAAATCATTACACCCCTTTACGGACAGATGATACAAAACCAAGAAAATAACAACTTTAGTCATGTTCACATAAGTAAAATGATAAAAAAGTTTAACGGCATGGATAATCTGATTTTAATTTTACATTCCAAATTTCACAATAATGTCCTATAAATGATTAAAAAAAAAAACCCTGGGAATGTAAAGATTATAAGGAAGATAGCAGAAAGAACATCAGAGAAAGTTTACAATTTCTCAATATTTTCGAAATTTGATATTTGCATCATTTACCACTAAAGTAGGTCCAAAAATATACACCAATCCAGGCATCCATTTTTTTGGGGGGGGGGGGGTTGTATCATCAGTCCTTTTTAATTAAATCACGAGGGTTTGAAAGGAGAACGCGTAGAGAATTTGGAATGGACAGATTGACTGATACTTTTTAATACGAAATACAAAAATATGACAATACTATAATGATAATATGAAAAATATTAAAATAACTATGGTAACCCATTTTAATAATTGACACCAACATCGTGCGCGAAGTCGTTACGATTGTGTCATTTTTGGTCATGGAATATCTGTTCGGTTCCTATAGGCCTACGAAAGTTAAATATACTTTATATGCTTGCTTTCCAAAATCTATAGATATATTGTTTCTTCTCAGACACAATGAATCATGATGATATTATGAGGTATATATTCTTTTAGGAAAGTACACATTAAAAACGGGTCAATTAAGCCCGTGTGAACACATGTAATGTCATTTATAAATAAACAAAATCGTATTTCTCGTACCTAAAAAAAAGAGAAGATTTTTAATGTACAAGAAATACAATTTTTTTAATTTGCAAATTTCAGCGATTTTCAATTTTTATTACAATCAGCATAATTAGATAGACATAGAAAAAACACACAATACACAAAAATACACCATCCTGAAACCGAGCCCCTATATGAAGCCTTTTACCCGAGGATGACCCAATAAAGCCGTAGTAACTTATTTCCAACGGGGTTATCATTAGTTGCCACGAAATTTTCATATTATATGAAATGTATTTTAACAAATATTTGATACAATTATTGCTGTTTTTAGGCCAATAATATACAATTATTGCTGGTTTTTGAGGTGGGCGAGGTGAATATTGTACTTCGAAGGTGGCTAAATCATCGTATTGACCGAAAAAACAGCAATAATTGTTTTATTATATGATTCAATGATTGTAATAAATGACACACACTCATTAAGTAAGCCATGCCATCTTACTTGTTCACATCTACTGAAGTACTAGCCGAACATAATGAGAGAAACGGGGTTAAAAACAACCAGTTGTATTATTTTGGAATTTTTAATTCTAGTTTAGGTCCAATGTAGAAAAAAATGTCAGGAATATATAGAGGATTGATTTTGGAAAAGGGATATTAAAAGGGAAAAATGACAACTTACCTGAAAACAAATCTTTGACTAGCCCCCCCCTCTCCCCCGCAAAAAAAAGGGAAAAGAATTCTCCCAACTCAAAATTTTATTTGGTGGTATGTAAAGATCCATAAAAGAGTGAAGGGGGATTTCATTGATTTTTTTTTATCCTTAAAATCTAAATTAAAACTTTACATTCTCAAAAGGTAGGGAGAGGGGCAGGCCTTCTGCAGTCCCCCCCCCCCCCAACCCTCATCCAAGATTCCATCTACCTTAAGTTAATGTTATGTTCATATGAGTGGAAGTCAGGTGCGAGTGAAATAACTTTCCAAAACTATTTGCATCGATTTGGAATTTCCCTATCTATTTTTGGTCCAATGTAGAATAAATAATTCCTTATATTGACCTGGAAGGTCATGTGCAGGTCAATATAACATAGTATTTTTCTAACATTGTTGGATCTCAGCCAATCAGAAAGATGGGAATTATTCAATTATGAATCATATAATAAAATGATTTAGACACCTGAGGAGTACAATATTCACCGAGCCCGAAGGCCGAGGTGAATACTGTACTTCGAAGGTGGCTAAATCATCATATTGACCGAAATAACAACAATAATTGTTTTATTATATGATTCAAAGATTAGATGATAAAACACATTAAACAGTCCATTCCAACTTACTTGCTTACAATGCCATTTAGCTGTAGTACAGTCCTAGCCAAAGGGGGTTAAAATACACATAACCAGATGTATTAATTTTGAATTTTAAAATCTATTTTAGATGTGATGTAAAAGAAAATAAATGTCATACAGGTTTAAAGGATCAAATTTAAAAAATAAAAAGAGGGGGTGGGGGTAGGTCAGCATTATAAGGGAAATAAAAAACATTTTTACCTAAAAAAAAAAAATATAGTCAACTAGTCCCCTCAAAAGAGGATAATTCTCCAACCTCCAAATTTTATTTGGGGGATGTCAAGGTCAATTAATAGGGAGACCAGCCTTTCAATGAACATTTTATACTAAATTAAAAGTAAAAATTTCAATAAAAAGTATGGCGAAGGGCGCAGACCACGGCACCTCTCACTACCACTCTCGATTCTATGTGCCTGAATGTTATGGTCACCTGAGTAGAAGTCGGATGCAAGTGAAATAACTTTCCAGTACTATTTGTATCAATATGGAATTTCCAAATCTATTTTTAGTCCAATGTAGAAAAAAATAAATCCTTATATTCACCTGGAAGGTCACGTGCAGGTGAATATAACGTGGTATTTTTTCTACAATGTTGGATGTCAGCCAATCAGAGAGATAGGATTAATTCAATCATATTATAATAATTTTCATTACTGAATGAAGTTATCCCCACTCGCCTGTATTAATCGAATTCAATGCAGACAATATAGCCTTTTGATTTTACTCTCGAAAATCCTCGATAATCTAAACAATTTTTACCACGTGCAATCGTTACATGTAAAACTTAACTCAGTTATTTCGTTGTGGAATAAATCACATTGCTTACCATTTATAAATTCCTTAAATGTTTCGTAAATGGCTGTCATTTTGCTAAAGGAAAGTGCTAAAATTCATACCAGTAACCAGGAAGAAACTGACTTTCTCTACTTCCTTGTTTACATTTTTTTTTCGTAATTGGGGATCTCGAACCCGACGAAAACAGAAATCGTTCCGGTATTCATGCTTTGGCAATATCCATATGTTATTGTTTTTGTTTAACCAGTGAAATATACTGAAATAATCGACTTTATAAAAAATAAAACATAAAAATAAGTTCAATTAAAATATTTTATTTAATATTTTTAATGCATAATGTTGAAAAAAATACATCCCCTCTCAGACTCTTAAACAGGTCATCAAGTCTGCAAAGCATTTTTTATGTATTAAAATCATATCAATGAGCTAATGCAAAATGCTCAAACTTTTATTGTAACAAATCAACAATCTTTCATAAAAATGAACATCTGCTTAATGTATTAAAACTTTAAACAAAATCATGTACATGTATTTTAAATTTTTAGAGGCAGAATTCTGTTGAAAATGGTATGATAATCTTTTATTATTACATTGCTTTATTTAGAAGGGATCCATAGGTGAAAAAAGATTTTCAACATCAATATAAATTATAAAACTCCTTACTTAATGTGTCTGTACGTGTCTATTAGAATGTATTTAATTTTTGATTTCTTAAAATCATAATATACATCAATTTAGCAAGATTTATTCCAACTGATTTCGATTTAAAAAAAAAAATTAAATGCCTTTTTCATATAAAAATATCTGGATAACAGTCAGTGGATCCTAAAAATTTATTAGCATATACAGTACTTCACCAAAACCTGAATTTTTACACTACTATTTGTTAAGGACAAATGATACAAACAAATTTTTATCAAAAATCTTGAAAATAACAACTAAAGTCATGTACTTTATATAAGTAAATTGAATAAGTTTAACCGCATATATTTTTATTTTTCTTTTAAAATTTCACAATAATTGGATTTAAAGTGACAAAAATTTGTATAGATTAATAAAGATAGCTGCAAAAAGGTGGATTTTGAACATCGTAGAAAGTTTACAATTTCTTAATATTTTAGAAATTTAATATTCTAATCATTTAGAACCATGCAGAATAGGTAAAAAAATATATACCAATCCAGGCATCCATTTTTTCGTTTGTACCATCTGTCCCTAACAAATCTTTTTTATTCACAACTACAGAAGCTTTACGATACTGCACCAAACAACCTTCCAAGCATTTAAAATCAAGCAATTTAAAATGATATCCCCTTAAAGTCCTTCTCTTTCTGAAACCATAGGGAATGAGGAGCAAAGGGCATTAGAAATTTCATAAACTATCTCAACTTTGACACTGCTTTTATTTCTTAATAGGATGTGTTCATGAATGAATTTTATTCTTATACTCATTAAAATATAAATGAAATATAACACATGAACATAGAAAGGAGTAAAAATAAAACAGAGGCTACATTTCCTCCAAAAAATAATAAACATTCCAGTACTACATGTATTTACATACATGTACTTGATATGTGTTTGGACTCTCCATCTTTGCAGACTATTCACTACTCCACCTTGTAAACTTCTGACAATTTGACACTAAACAATTTACATATGCACTGGAAAGTCAAAAGCACTTATCAAAAATTGGAATTTGAAACTAATACATCTGTATATTCATAAAATAAAAAAGAACAATATGAATACATGAAAATACACATCCATATTCAATTGAGATTTAATTTTGGGTTTCCTTCTGCATACACTGAAGAAATTTTGGATGGGATTAAATGCATAGTTATGTACCAAAGTCCAAAAACAATGTGGACTTTACAACAAGGATTTATAAACAATGTAAAATGGTTTTAAGTAAGAACATCAATAGGAACATAAAGACGTAAAATAAAATGTAAAATAACATATATACATGCTTTCAAATACTTGTGATCTCGAGTCATATGATTGTTCACTTGTGATACATGGATTCATTGTGATAAAGCATCCTAAAGTTTTATTCCCGTCAACTAATGGCTGCCTTGTTCCTGTAACAGTAGACCTGTAAGAAGATGGAAATGTCAATTCCCACTTGTAACATCCCACAGATCCAGAATTGGGCTGGAGCTTGACGGACGATGAAATATCCTGTCTTAAAGCAATCTCCACAGGTCCACATAGCTACCATCTTTTTACTGCAAAAAAAATGAGAGAATCTCTTGTTAAATGAATCCCAACAAGAGGCCCATGGGCCACAATACTCACCTGAATCACCTTGGCTCTTCTGTTCTTCAGATTTTTCAAAGATTTCATCCCCTCTATAATCCAATGAAAAATGTTGACACCATATGTCCCCATCTTAGCCTCAAATGGTTATGGCTAAATGATCACCAAAGTTGAATCCACAGTAAATCAACGTTACAAATTTGGCCTTGCAGTTCTGGACAAGAAGAGTTTTAAAGCCCCCCCCCCATACATGTAAAAATTTGATCCCCAATTAAGTGTCACCCTGCTACTCTCAAATTTAGAAGAAAAAAGTCTTATAGATTCCCATGTAAAATGCCAGTCTGTTTCTAACCCCATGGGCCTTGAATTTATCAAATATGTATCTGCACTTAAGTTTTTTCCTACATATTCCAAGTGAATATTTGATCCATTATTGTAGCCCAACCGAAACCCTCAAGCCATGGTTTGTGGCCCCCTCCCAAGGGCAATGTTTTGAACAACTTCAAACTGCACTAATTGAGAATATTTGCATATTCTTCTGTAAAATTTTGATCCCCAAATTGGTCCCCATCCTTTTCCCATAGGCCCTGTTTTGAACAAACGAATCTTCACTACCTGAAGATGTTTGCATATTATAAAACATGACTAATCATGGCCTGCTGTTCTTGAGAAGAAAAATTTTACAGATTTTTTTCCCTATATATTCCTATATAAAATTTATTTTGATCCCCAAATGAGGCTACATCCTAGAACAAACTTGAATCCCTACTATTTGAGGATGTTGACTATTTAATCATAGGCATGCTGTTCTTGGAAGATTTTTTTTACAGATTTTTTCCTATACAGAATTATGTAAAACTTTGATTCGCTACCATTACCCCATCCTACCCCTGGGGGCTACGGTTTGAATATACTTGCATGAATCCACACTATGTCTAGAAACTTTCACATAAAGTTCGTCATTTAATTTTTTCTCATATAACCCCACCCTGTATTTACCTATTTATTTATTATCTCCCTTTGGAAAGAGGCATGGCCCCTCATCTGCTCAAACTTGAATCCCCTTTACCCAAAAACATTTTGTGCCAATCTTTGGTTGAAATTGGCCTAGTAGTTCAGGAGAAGAGAATAAAAATGTCAAAAGTCCCCAAAAATAATGGATTGCATTACATGCAAAATCTTTTATGTTTATGCATGTAAGATGTTTGTGGAATTTATTGAGCAGTCATAAAACTACAATGACTTCCAGAATAAAATTTGTCTTCAATGGACCGAGTCACGAAAGATATTTAGTTTCAAACAAAGAGGTAGTCTGACAGACGTTTCCATTTGGGAGACTATTTTTTTATACTGATACTTATTTTTATTAAAATTCTCACTTACTTTTCTTAGTTTATTCAATTATCATAAGATTTACCATGAAATTTTTTTTCCTAGTCAAAAGCATTTTTTTAAATAAAAAATTTAGCATGAACACTGGTGTTTGTACATATACAGCAATTAACTTACCTCATACCATGTGTAGACTTGTTTACGAAGTTCCTGTAGAATTGGGGAGCACCTAACATTGCTTCAGCAAATACGGCAAGGAAGCCAATTGTCTCTACAAAGTACACATTGTCTAGAAATATCCATGTTAGTAGTCCCACTACAGCTGTAAAGGCTACTGTGAACTGCAGATAGCTGCTAAAGTAAGTCCATTTCCAGAAGTGGCCTCTGTCAAAATCTGAAATCACATATCAAAAGTTTCAGACATGTATGTGCATGAAAAATCTAGCACTGCTAGCACACTGTGTAGTGCATTGTAGAATATCACAACATGAAAAGCTAAAGCAATTAGCCCTTGCCTATTATTTTGTATATTATATGAAGCCTAGAGCATTAATTCAAGAAGATTTAACATTACTGATTTTTACATTTTTTTCAACTGTGAAGCAAACCAGCAACTGATACCATCAATAATACTGTAAACCTGAAAATACTCATGGGAGTAAATTATTCTTAGTACCCAAGAAGAAGATCTTTCACATATACACATATACATGTAAACAGTATGTATATAAACCTACATGCCGATGCCTTTATACTTTACTTTCATTTACTACCGGTATACATGAGCTTATATTGCAGAAACATCTTTAAGTGGATGATTTCTACTACATGTAATGATTAACAGCCTAAATATCCAGGTCTACAGTACCTGAGGTACAAAAAAAATCAACATATGTCACAAGATGACACACCTGTAATAACAAAGCCCAAACCCTTTCTTTTTAATTTTACACATACAAATCAGACTAAAAACACCTTGTGCAAAAACATTAAACTTAAAAATCAAATTATGGACAAATATATACTAACACTTGTGCTTTCTTGAAAATAAGGCTGGACTGGGGATTCAGAATTGTGCTATATAGAATCCTGAAATCATGCACTTTGACAGTGACAAGATATAAGGATTTTCTCATGGATGATAAGTGTCATGCATAGTGAATCCAAAAGGGGAGGAAATTCTATACTATAAAAATTTGTCATGCAGTTAATTCAAGCTTTAAAGGTTCTGGGCTGTATCAGAGCAGACTCTTGCATACATTATTACATGTGTATGTTTTTGTTTTTCTATTTATTTTTGATTTGAAATATGTATTAATACTTGTATCTTATATTCCTATCATTAGGAACTAAACAAGCAGCTAATAATAATAAATATTTTAAAATAATATTTCTTAATTCAATATACTGTAAACGTACTTTTTCCGTTGGTTCATAATTCTGTGAATTCACAATTTCTGTTCAATCTGCTGGTAGAAAATTTTGCAGATTTCTTGGATTGCCTTAGTATGTCTTACATGTATATGCACTTTCAGTGTGCTATGATAAATTCCTGTGGAAAATTTTTGAATGTGTACATGTGTAAATTTTTACACTTGTATCATCTTGTGAATTTTTGTAGAAACAAGTTACATAGATACAGGTCAAAATCAAAAATGTCAACATCAATATTAAACCAAGCATATGTCAGAACAACAGAGAAAGCAACAACTGTTATTAAAGTTTACACAAGAACTGTTAGTTAGTATCAAAATATTTAGAATGCAATCCAGTCTGCGCTGAAACATATGCAAGAGACTGTTGAATACAATTCTTGAGCAAGCAGTAACACATATAAATGCTACCTACCAAGAAATGTTCTCACAGGTATGACAGTACGATTTAATCGTGGACTTACTTCACCATTATTTGGATGAGCAGAAAATGAATCTGAACAAATTTTGACAAGATTTAGGATTTCTTATAAATTAATAAAATGTTTATTTGAAACTGAAATTTTTACATTAAAGAAAAGAAGAAATGATGTTTTTGCAGTGGTAAATCAATATGGACAGAGAAACTGAGGACAACACAACAGACCAAACAGGATAATTAAAATATTTACACCCAAAACGTGGAGTTAATTCTAGAAAAGAAATATCATTCTTATGTTTTCTGAAAGTTAACAGATGAAAACAAAGAACTTACCGGTGAACTTATGCTCTTTAGAAGCTATGAGCTCTCCTTTGTGTTTGACTCGGACACACAGCTCGGTCAAAGCTAACATAGTAAACACCATAATGATGCTCTGGGCTAACAAAGGCAACTCAAAATGACGACCAAACCTGTAATAGTTCATTAATAAGCACTTTATTTAAAAGCCAAAAATTCCAGAATCATAAATGATTCAAATACATTTAACTGCAAGACTACCATATTTTGCCTATTATAATACAAACTTTTTTCCTAAGACAATTCATTTTTGAGAAAGTGGTGTATATAATACACCGTATCGTACCTTTTTGACACATTTTTCTGTCAGGTAAAGTTAGACTGTAAGTTAGTTACACTGTCAGAATGCATCCTACCTTCTTTTAATATTTTTAAAAGTCAGAAAATTTGTTCACAGTTTATTGGGATTTTTATTAAAAAAAAAAAATTATAATAATTTAACTTCAATTAAAAAAAAATCCCTCCCTCCCTGCTGGGCCGGTATCAACCCAGGCAGCAATTCCAAACAAACAATTTTTTAAGGATGGCCTAAGTGAACATTTTCCTATTATTCATTGATTGGATTAATGATTAAACATGCAATTTTCAGCTTCCAATCAAAATGACCCATGCAGACATCAGTGTTTTTCCAAGGGCAATTAAATGGAAATATGTGGTCAGCAGAGTAGAACCATGCAACATACCCTCTGTTATACTAGCGACCCACATACATATCAATCTACAGTATATGGCCATAAGTGAGTCATAATTGCATTTTTACACTATTATATATTTCACTGAAAAGCCAATTTTTATAAAAACTTATTGTGAGGTCAATTTTAGCCCAATTTCCATGATTTTTTTCATTAAATCATGAAGAATTGTTCAAATTTTCTTGTCTTATAATGCTAAACAAAATGATACACTAATCATTGAGAATGATTTATTAAATCGTCAAGACAAAAATTTCTAATCTCAAATTACTATGATTTCTTAACAAATTACAGTCGTAAAATTTTGAATTTGCATTTGCCGTGTGATATTACCGCAGTGCCTACAGATAAAATTATTTTGAGATTATATCAGAAAAAAAAACTGCAAAGAATTCTGCATTTTATGGTGTTTTAGTCATAAAAAATGATCAACAAATAACACTGCAATAATATTTTAGAAAAATGCATTTTTCAATGAAATATATCATAGTAGAAAAATAAAATTATGACTCACTTATGGCCAGGTACTGTACCTCTGAAAAATCCTCACTTATATATATTTAAATTCAATTAAGGAATTTATTCAGTATCTTAAAACTATCGAAGTCCAGTGTAGAAAACGTTTGTAAAACTTGCTTGCCAGTAATTATAATTTTTCAAAATTAACAAATTAGTAATTTTTTTTAGAAATGTAAAAAAGTTTCTAGTCTTTGGGTCAGGCAGACATGGATTCTAAATACTGTTGTATCAAAGTTGGAAACTCTGATATAAGTCTTAGTCTTTTTGTCAAATTATATATAGTCAAACCTTGTTATCTTGAACTTGAAGGGACCAAGAAAATACTTAGAGATAACCGAGGATTCAAGATATCTAGGGTGAAATACTTAAGGAATAAGCAGTTGGGACTTCAAAATGACTTCGACGTATCCATGGTATTCGAGATATCCGTGTTTGAGATACTGAAGATCAACTGTATATATATATATATATATATATATATATATATATATATATATATATATATATATATATATATATATATATATATAAACCAAACAAACTAACCAAAACAAAATTCGGAGAATGTTGGCAATGAGGAGGTTAAGGCAAACAAATGTGGAGAATCCGTCAGCATTTCCTGACTTCTTTATGTCTAAGTACTGTGGTATGAATGGAATCACTCCGCCAAATATCATGGCCCCCTGGCAGCCAATGCTGATGATTTCTATGATGTTAGGCATTGTAATTCCACTAAATGGCTCCAGAAGAACTGCTGGAATCATATAATCTGGGGTTGGCATGGCAATGGATTTCCCAAGGATGGGAGGACAGTTTCTGAATTATTTCTTCTATTGTTACATTTCCCTGAAACAAGAAAAAAATTGCTACAATAGGGCCTAGTACATGTACAATAAATGACAAATAGTAAATTAAAAAATCTTAAAGAGAACATAACAGTCAAAACGTTAATGTTATATGAATAGATGCAGAACACTTTAACAAAATATTTTTGTTTTACCCATATTTTTACTGATAATCACAACTATATCCCAAGTCAAATCAGTCAGGTTACACCTCTTTTAGATAAGAGCGACCCATAATCGCCACGCTGGACTTTACAGTGCAGTGGCCATGACAAGTGTCAACAACCCTGACCACAGTTGACCAGAAAAAGGAGTTATTTCCACTCGTAACGCTCTTCAGTATTGTGTTTTACTTAACTTAATCAATTTTCAGATAATTGTTTTTAAATAAAACTTACTATTTTATTCCCTTCGAACAATATATTAGAGTCGTTAATCAATAAAGGTACAGTCGTTGCAATATGAGAAACGACAAATCCTATTGGTTGAGAATTCACGATCGATAACTCCAATCTACTTTCACTTTCCCGACGTTGAAAGGGGCGGGTCTCGAAGAATGTAAAGTCTTCTTCTTCTTCGATAGATACTGAGCTGGGATCTTCAAAGAGCATTTATGCTATTCTTGTCGATATTGACTAAACCAAAAAAAAAAAAAAAAAAAAAAAAAAAAAAAAAGAAGAAAAAGAAAAAAAGAAAAAAGAAACTGAACAAAAGTTTTAAGGAAACTTTAAACACTGCTCACTGAAGAGTTCTAGTTCCGTGGTAGTATCTGTACATGTATTTTCATATATGGCAAGAAATTGGTACTGTGTTTTGAGGTCATACTTTTGTACCCTAGGGTACATCCCCTATTTATCCTTTAGCAATAAGGTTACAAAAAGGTTACAGTACAAAACCATTGAAAAATGAAAGATTTTTTCCTATCTATTCCTATGTAAAACTTTGATCCCTCATTGTGGCCCACCCTACCCCCGGGGGTCATGATTTGAACAAACTTGAATCTACACTCCATGAGGATGCTTCAATATAAGTAAGAAGTTATAAATGCTTGTGATATGAACCTTGAGTAAACTGACTTCACATTTTGCATAATACAGTGCGAATAGTTTTGTCAATGTCAAAATCTGACTTTTAACATACTAGTACATTTTGTATCAAGATTCTGCAGTGCAGTTATTTTTATATTTAAATCCACTGTAGACTTTCTTATTTCTTATGAAACCACTTTGTTCATCAATCAGTAAACTGATTCAATTAATTAGGCCACCTGTATAGATTTCTTGTGCAAGGTGCTTTCATAAATTTATCTCGGCTGAGCTTTGGATTAGCTGGATAATTGGACTGATGCCTTTACCAAAAATGAAGGCATCAGTCCAAATATCCATATTGAGCCAAATCTCAGCCGAGATTAACTGAAAATGTATTATTGCATGTGGATATCAATTTTAAACTAAAGGTACTGTAAGCAATGAGCTCACAAAATGATGCCCCTGGTCCTATATAATGGCAAAATCCATGTTTTTCTATGGGAAATCCCAAATACCTGTCCAATCAAAACGTAAAATAGAAGGTGCATAATGGCACTATGTAATAAAGATTCTGTAAGAGTCTCCTTAAATTTATTTAGTGGTACAGGAGTAGTTCCAGATAAGAGATGGGTACCCCCAAGCTTTACAGATGTATGAGCGGACACCCCACCACCCGCTTTTTAAGTGCAGGGTATAATAATAAGTATATGTATGCTATTTTAAAGGTGTAAACATGTTCTTTCAATTTTTATTAAATTTTAGCATTCTTTGTAGGCATGCATCTCTCTCGGGATTTTAGACCAGTTCTGTGAATTTGTGCTGAATATTTTTGTATGTGTATGAATGTATCTGAGAAAGAGAAAAGAGTATGTCTACATTTGTAAGCATGAGCAAATAACACTTCTGATGTTGAAATATTTTCCATTAGCTCAATAATTAAATACCTGTACTGTTAATCCTAGTTCTGGAAATCATCTCTATATAGTACCAGTATATATGTATACTTTTACATCAAAATCATCACTGTTTATATCAATACATAATTGTGCAAAAAATAAATCACTAAACACCTGCTGAGATGTGACTTATTATTTTTTTTTTATTCATCATTAATACACAAGAAACTTTCCACCTGTACTTTGTAGAAACAAGGTATTTTATAATCACTAGGGGAAACACCAAATGTTGAAATGAACTTGATGGATGACCATTCCTAAAAGTTTAAATTAAAGTGTGTTAATTATGTTACATGTACTGACAATGTGAAAATTGTTTCTCATATATTTTAAAAGAAGCTGGGAAACAAAATTCAGTAAGAAGACTAAGCAGTATTTGGCACAACTTCAATCAAGTTACTGGTACATAGAAGCTCAATAAAGACTTAAAACCCCTCCACTGAATAAGCACTAATGGAAAAAACACTATCTTTGCATTGGTTTGTCACACTACTGCTCTGAATTTATGCAGTTAACAAAAGGAATGTCTTTTAGCCTCTACATTCAATTATCGCTAGTGCAAGCATACAAACTCTAGTACAAAAAAGTTAAAAATATATGAAGCTTGACAGGAAAATAAGGAGAAACCAGAGATGACACAGATTTAAACAGCTATCTGCTTCATCATTTTCTGGGTACCAGGGATCATTTATACCTTAAAAATACACCCAGATAGTGCTTTAGACATTGATGTTTACGTGTCCAGAGTAATTAATACATTATGCTCTAGTACATGCATATATGAACAATTAATCTGCTTTCATCTTGCTTTTCAAATTTACAATTTACAATGTCTCATAATTTTGCACCCTTGTAAAATGAGAATAAATCTGTCAACCTTACTTTGAATGTACATTGCATTTTCTGAATAAATGTAAATAAATACTCTTAGACTTTTCTGTCTATCATAAATAATAATAATGCATACTTCATTTATTTAATAAAGTAACTATGAAGTAAAGATTTTTGGTCCAGGTTTTCAGAAATAATCATCTAGTACAGTTATAATACATTAACCTACACTCTACATGCCATATATTTTCAGATAAATAATATGTGAACACTGTAAAACACTTATGCATTAAATTGGAAGTTTTTAAATTACTTACGAAAAGCCAAATGTAAATGTCTTTAAGTTTAAGAATACATTCATGTAACAGGTACATAAATTTTCATTTAATTTCAAAAATCAATTACACTTTCAAGAGAGACTTAATAAACCACTGATGAAACACCACACAGGGAAAATCAACAATACAAAATTAACAAGCCTGAGATCACCTCAGATTATTGTGACATCATCACAAAAACTGATGATGTCAGCACATAGACACAGCATTCATCTCATTAATGGAACACATGATCTCACATATCCACATATCTCAACATTCATGATAAAATTTTCAACTCTTCATCACAGATCAAACATACTTCTGCAAGTCTTACAATATCTCATAAACACATACTCCGCACAACACTGAACATCTTAAACAAATACATGAACAAATTTTATCTATACACACTATACAGAAAACACATCAATTGTAAATCATTGAAAACATGAATACTGAAAAATAACAATTAAGACATTCGTAAGAAATTTACTGTCAAAAGTCCTTATGACCATAATGCTCACCTGAAACACACTTAGGTGCCATTAAAATTTTTTAACCTCCTTTTGTGGCTCAATCCCGGTGCAAGGGAACATGATTTAACAAATCTGAAAATATGATTCTGAGGTCTGTGTCCCTGTTGTTCTTGAGATTATTTTATAGATTTGTGCTACAATGTATATCTTCCTATATAATAATTTGACACCCCTCCCTCCTTTAGTGGCCCCCACCCTAGCCATGGGGACTCTGGTTTGAACACGCACTTGATTCTATACTATGTATGAAAGCTTTTGATTAAATCTAGTCTTTTCTGGCCCAGAGGCTATTGGAAAAATATTGCTGTTTATGTACTACAGGGTACATTGTATTTTTTAGCAGAAATGATTTTTTTTAGCATTGATATGAATTAGCATATTTCTAAATGTATGTGTTAGTACCCAGTTTATGTTTATACAAGAATCTAGTGATGTATTTAATTAATAGCAGAAGCTGCTTTCCCAAAAGGCCCTAATAGAATATGCAGCCAGCCATAATAATATGTTTACAGTAACAGTAGAGTAAATGACTGCACCCTATTTTCCTATCAGAAAAAAAAATCAGCCTTTGGCTACGGTTAGGTAAAAAAAAAAATTCTGAAGGAAGTTCAAGTAAATCACAAAATAAATAATTCAGCACTTCAGTATGTGAAACAGCAACATAAATTACAAGTCTATCACTGTTTGAAAGGGTTTGTAATCACTGAAAATCATTAAGATAAGCTGGCGATTCTGCATACCACTGACTTCAACATAAAATATAAACTGACGTTTTTTCAGTATTGGTTACTGTCCATCAGTTTTTCACTCTCTTTAATTGTCTAATACAAGTAGGGGGACTACATGTACTTATGAAGATGGCATCTGTGGCACAACATTGGCAGTTGTATGTGGTTCATAATTGACTAGTCTCTGACCCACCAGATATCTACAAATACACAAATAACAGATAAACAGACCTGCTTGCACTTTGAAAAAAACTGACTATCTACATTAAATCAGTTGATTGTGGACCTGCCCTTCTTTGAGAAGTTTTGAAAAGACTTTAGCCTTATTGTGTTCTAGCACAGGTCTATACATTGTGACTTCAAATTTTGGCCCCACCATCATTTTTAGTGCAATGGTTTAAATTATTTGTATTTTATATTATTTCCCCTTGGAAAAAAGCATGGCCCCTTGAATGCGAAAACTTAAATTTCCTTTTTTAACAACTGGCCACCTGATTCTAGTGTAGGGGTTGAAAATGTGAATTCATGTACTTAAATATTAGGTGAACTTTAAAGAAAAAAAATCATTTTTTCTTTACAACAGTAAGTTTCCATGCATCAATTTACAAAGCTATAAAGGTGAAGTTAAAAACTGCTTTAACATTTGTGGTATAAACATTGTGGAACAAAGCATAATCAAATTGTCTTACTTGTCAGCTGGAACTCTATGTAAAATTATCAAAATCTTACTTGTCATTTTTGATGTGTTCATAAAGTCTTTTAAATTGGCGGATTTGGAATATAAGTATCAGTACACCTATTATGCAGGCAAGAAGGAATGGGTAAATTCTTCTTAAAACCAAATTTTCAACTTCAAATGGAAAACCTGAAAAAAATTATAATAAAACAGCTTGATTTATTTTTCTCCTAGATGATTTCATAATGAATGTTTCCTGTCAATAATGATTTAGAGTTAATCAAATGTAGACATACTGTTCAAAGCAAACAGCTACATGTATCTTACCTAGAAAAGGGACAATACTCCTGGCTACCACATATGGAACAGATATTGACATTCCTAGTACCCCAATGACAGGGGCACATAACTTTGTCAGAATAAAACGAAGGTTCATGTTGCGAATGCCATCATTATACACCTGAAACAGAACATATGAACACACATTCACATTTATATATTCCAAGTCACTGAAGATGTCATCTCACATGACATTTGATTGATGCACTGTCCACTAACCTGTTCTATGACCCTTTTGAGCCACCACTGGGGCCCCATCATTGTAACAGCAGTTACAATTTTGGCATGTAGTACACCAAGTGCCCAGTCCTATAAAATGTTGAGAAAGTTATTACAAAATTTATAGGCATACAAAACAGGATTGAATTAAAAGTTGGTCTTTAAGATGTGACATAAAAAGCAATTTGTGAGTGTAATATTTTTAAAACAACAATCATTCATACCTGCCATGGAAAAAATATGGGAGTTTGGTCCAGAGGCACTCGAAGTGGTGCAACCACTACCAGTTCAAACAATAGGCCCAGTAATAATGGCACCATTCCAATCAACAGAAAAGCCACAAGAATACATTTAGAAGCCTATATAAAACAAAAATACAGTACAAAAAGGGGAAGCCACTAGTTTCAAAAACCCAGTAATAATTTATCATCCATCCCAACTTTCTGACATAAGAAAAAAAAACCCTCCTCCCATACTGATAAAAACAAGGAAGAAAGAAATCAGTGTTTCAACCCCTCTCAGATAAATCTTTCTGTAATAGTTGCTAATGTACATGGAGTTTCTTAATGGTTCACTCTCAATGAAGACATTTACATGTATTGTTGAATACATATACTGGGTAATAACATACCAGGAAGACCCACTCCTTGACCTTGTTGAGGATAACTGAGGTGCCCTGAGGGATCCAGTTATATAAAACTGTCCCTATCCTTAACACCACCCAACAGACATAAAGACCACAGGCTGCCGTGTAAAGCTCGTGGATCTTAGCATCTCCCATCCACAGGGACATCAGCTTACGACCAACGAACACTGCCAGAGAAATATATCACAAGTGATGAACAGGACATTCAAACACTGAAGTGCTGAATTAAGTACTGAATAATAAATTCTTACACATACCAAATATATGTATACTTACCTGGCAATACTAAGGAAACCAAACTCATAGCAAACAAAGTAAAACACAGACAGAGGACAAGGAGCACAATCTAAAGCAATAAAAACATTGTATATTAGAAAATCTGCCAATATGTCGTCATTTAGTTGTCATCGTTTTAAATATCTACAGTTGTGTCTTGCAAAAATATAAGAAATTATAAATTCTGCTGAGACATATGTTGTATGAAATAAAATTTCTAATTTTTAAAAAAATTTTCATAGCAAAAATCTCACTCTGAGTGGGAAAAGTGGTGGTCTTTTGTAAGACTGGAATCCTGTTGGTCCCCCACCCTGTAACATGGCAACATGGGCAGCTCTCAGTCCCCCACCTGCAGGGGGTGGAGCTGGGTTATTGGGTGGAGCCGGCTGGGCCTGAACAGCTGGTTCACCCTCTACCACATTGTCCTAAAATTTACAATGAAAATTATTGTTAATACTTATCAATGACTGATATTTACAGTCTGTCAGTATCACTGGCTTACAAATGGAAACAGTTCACAGCATATGTGAAAGAGTGTCTACTGTAAACCAACTATTATTCGCGTCAACTTTTATTTGCGATTCATCGGTTTGAAATCAATCCGCGACGATTAATTTTCGCGACTGAGGAAACATTCTCTACAAAAACAAAGCAAAATAAATGGTTCACGGCGATAAATATTCGCGAGTTAGAGTAGGTCGCGAAACTCGCGAATATTTCTCGCACGCAAATAAAAGTTGGTTTACAGTATATTGCAATATTCTTGCTTTACTTTAACAACAGCCACAACACTGCACCATAGCATATTTACTGCACAATTACAATTGAATAACTTAAGTATAAACATATAATTCTACCTGTATGTCTCTATAACTGTGAAATCCACTTTCCATTTCAATATGATGAAAACAGAACAATCATATTTACCCCATCGTGTAATGGTGCATCTCCCAATAGATATGACCTCAAACCCAGAAAATAAGCCACGCCCACCGTCCAGCCACGTATCAACCCCTTCAGCCACATGCGAGTGTGTCCCTGCTCCAGTAATGCAGGCAGTACCACTTGTAACAGAAGAAGCTCTAGGGAGAGTTCACTAACAGGGGCATCACTGAAACAAAACAGATACTCTGTAAACTTGTTACAGGTTATCAACAATAATTGTCCACACAGGTACTTAAAAATTCAGTCTAAAAGTAAATAATGACCATCCAAATCAAATAATGTCTCAGTGTGTACCTTGACAACATAACATGGTAAGGTAGAAATGATGTCAAGACTTTTCTAATGACACGGGCTGGCAACCATAACATTAATAAAACTGTGCTTCCAAAAATCACCTGAAAACAGAGAAAATAATGTGCAACTAGAAAAATTGCTGGAATAAAAGGCTTGAGGTGAGACACAATATCCACTGCTCACTAGAGTACTTACAACAGAAGCCAAAAATCTCCTGGCATGTCTGTACACTGGTAGGTGTATCATCTACAAGCAGATAATCAAAATTATCAAATACTTTTCTCAGAATTTCATTACTCTTTCATAAGAGTAAACCATTCAATACATTTGAGCAAAGAAATGCTGAGTTGAAAATGTACTTTTTGGCTGATCATAAGTTCATACAAAGATTTAAGTTATGATATCTCTGAACAAAAAAAGTTATCATAATCAATTTTTGGCACATGTCCATGCCCTTACTCTGTCCATGACAGATGATAAGACCATAAACTTTGCAACTGAAAGTCCAGCTTCACTACCAATGAGGAATGTGTGTACATGCTATTTAGTTCTTACAAATGTATTATTTACTCAGAGTTTTAAGGATAATGTTGATTTCCTACCTCCTGTATGGGATTGAATTCTGGGTCATTCAGATTTCTGAGGAACCAGAGGACCCCTGGTCTGAGGACCTCTCTAAGGAGGAGAATGAAGGAGGCAAAGTAGAAGACATATACCATCCCCACCAACCAGTGGATAAACATGGAGGTCCCTGGTGCTGCATGGAAGCTGTTTTTCCTGTCCTTCAAGGTAGCATCAAACATTGACTGCAAAATACAAAGAAACATTAACATGGCAGTTCTGCTCCTATTCTTAACAAATATTTGAGATGGTGATAATTTTCTATATGTATTAAGCTGCAGTAATACACATGTACCTTAAATTTTGCATTTACTTTTGAATCTTACCAAGGAACAAATATCAAGCCACCAGCCACAAATGACAGGAAACACACCCACTTCTATAACAACTAGCAGCATCACCTTGACAACAACATAACAAAGGCCCAGCACTCTGCGGAACCTGTGTAATAAGAATTATGACTAGAGTTTAATACATTTATTGACCAGTTTTAGTCATGATATATTCATTGCAACAAATAATTACATTTTTTTTTCATCCAGCAGCATTTTCGTGTGCTTGCAATAGTTTTTGATTGGCATTTTTCTCTTTCAATCATAAGTACCTAAGTTATACATGTAAACAGTAAATTTGGCATTGGTTCCATAATATTATGAATTTCTTTTGATGCCATAAAGACAGTAGTGTGAAAATTCTGAAGAAACAATTTGAACTACGTTTTGAAAATGTTAATTATTAATGTGATTTTAAGTTTGTAATTTTTACAGCTTACTTTCTAAGTTTGGCTATGGAACATAACATGTAGAGAATGATAAGAGCTTACTTTCTAAGTCTGGCTATGGAACACATCATGTAGAGAATGATAAGAGCTTAGTTTCTAAGTCTGGCTATGGAACACATCATGTAGACAATGATAAAAACTTACTTTCTAAGTTTGGCTATGGAACACATCATGATAAGAGCTTACTTTCTAAGTTTGGCTATGGAACACATCATGTAGAGAATGATAAAAACTTACTTTCTAAGTTTGGCTATGGAACACATCATGATAAGAGCTTACTTTCTAAGTTTGGCTATGGAACACATCATGTAGAGAATGATAAGAGCTTACTTTCTAAGTTTGGCTATGGAACACATCATGTAGAGAATGATGAGAGCTTACTTTCTAAGTTTGACTATGGAACACATCATGTAGAGAATGATAAGAGCTTACTTTCTAAGTTTGGCTATGGAAAACATCATGATAAGAGCTTACTTTCTAAGTTTGGCTATGGAACACATCATGTAGAGAATGATGAGAGCTTACTTTCTAAGTCTGGCTATGGAACACATCATGTAGAGAATGATAAGAGCTTACTTTCTAAGTTTGGCTATGGAACACGTCATGATAAGAGCTTACTTTCTAAGTTTGGCTATGGAACACATCATGTAGAGAATGATAAGAGAAGCTGAGATTACAATGTATCCTATCATGGTAGTCAGGAGGCCTTCAAAGTGGGTGGATTCCACCTGTAACAGAGAACTCAGGTGAGGCAAAGCAGTCCATTAGTATGTACCTACAAGCGTATATTGTAAGAGGAGAAAAAATCCATTCTGATGGAGTGCATACCATGTCATCCATCTTCATTCCAACCATGGTGAAATGTCCAATATGGTAGGGACAAAAAGCTAAAAATAAATGTATATGTACATTGAAAAAAAAACAAAAAACAAAACAAATACAGCTGACACAGACATGAACAATCAATGTTGTCAATGTTTTCAAAAAATAAACAAAATGAAAAAAAAAAAAATCTACTAAGGTAGTTTTTATAAATAAGATAAAAATCATGTACATCTTGTAAGTGAATAAAATTGTTTTAGTATAATGACTGGCTGCTGATTTAATATCTACTCACCAAATACCAGTATAAATAAGGTATTCAAAGACACCACCCAGAAAACATGTTCCTGCAAACAGACACCATACAGCAATCAACAAACAAAATCTCAGAATATGTTAAAAAGTGAAATATACATTGTACCGGTAGTTTATAATAATTATGTACCAGAAAAACAAGTGAGCCATCCAATCCCAGAAGTCTCTCCCATGTCAGTTCTTCAGCTGCTCTATCCCACTCAATAGGATTCCAATTATTGTCATCTATAATGAAAATTAACTACAGTCAAACCTCATTATCTTGAACTGGATAGGACCGAGAAAAAACTTTGAGATATCTGAGGGTTTGAGATATTGAGGGTAAAATACATGTACTTGAAAATAAAGTGCGTGGGACTTCCAAATCGCTATGACATACCCAATGTATTCAAGATATCTGTGTTCAAGATACCAAAGATCAGTGGTATAATTCATACATTGTATCTAAAATTCAGATAAGCATAAAGGATAAGTCTGCAGTGTTTTTACTAACCTTTCCCAGCAAAGGGGTTTTTGATGTGACATTTTTGACATGCTGTCATATATACCAGTAGCTCAAAGTAGAGAAATGCTAACCATGTTTTTTTACCGGTTAGCAGACATCTTATCCAAAAACAATAAAGTGTATTGGGTGTTCTTTTGCTTTAATACATGCTTAAGTAAAATTAATTATATATGTGTACTAATAAAAAGATGTCCATGAGTCAATGTGGTCATCTAAATCACCTTGACTGTGCTCATTTTATGAAGCAGATTTAAAAAGATTTTTTCCTATATACTCCCATGTAAAACTTACTGTGCCCCTCCTTGGCCCCATGAAAACAAATTTGAATTTGCATTAAAAGGCGATGCTTATTATGACTAACTGTGGAACTGTTTGCCTTAAAAAGATTTGGCTCATAATAAGTACAGTAAAACACGTTTATAGCAAAGTGCCAGGAATGGACAATTTTATTTGTTTTAAACGTAATTTGTTATATCCCTTAGGTTCACAATAGGTTTTTAAACCATGGGGAATGAAAATCACTTTGCTGTAAGTGTGAATTCATCATAAGCGTGTTCACTGTAACTGTGTTTTACTGAATATCTTTCAAGCTGCTTCTACATTTCTCTCAATTTTATCACTGTATTTGCCCTACCTTGTGCCCCATTATTTCCATTGTTTGCCCCATCCACTCCCTCAGCCCCATCTTCCTCTTGCTCCTCCTCATTGGCTGCTGCCTGGCCTACATCTCCTCCCCCTTCCTCTCCTCCTCCATTGTTAGCCTCATTCTGATTGGCTGCAGGTGCCCTAACTCCACCTCCTCCTAATCCAACAAGGTTATTGACAACACCCCCATCCAGAGGATTCTGATAAAGATACAGGCACAAATGTGTCACATTGTACATGTGTATTACTGTAAAAGTGATAATGAAGAGATAAAGTTTGATGATTTTGGTATATTAGAAAAATGGTGTGTGGACAATCTACTAGTTTTTAGCAGTGCTCTCAAAGGAATGTGAAAGTTGACCAATGGAAACTTTGATGATTTATAGAAATTTGTCAATTTCTTCAATGTTTCTACATCATCAAAAAGTTTCCACTTTTACTGTATGTTTTTTCTCCATTGTGCTCTCATTGTGTTTATCTTAGAGTAACATGTACATCGATGCCTGAGCCCATTAAACTATATTTAACTAAAAAAATTAACCTCTTAGTAGAAGTAGCACTAGGGCTGTGCAATAATATTGATATTCCGGTATATTGCAATTCATTAACAAAAAATATGGTATTGCGATACACTTTTCAAATACCAGTATACCAGCAAACTGCTTGGGCTTTAGATTTCTTAAGTAAAAATTAAATTTAAAATGTCAGAAACGTTTTCAATCGTGCCAAACAGTACCAAATGGTAAGGTTGCTGTTGTATGGTTGCATTTCGTTCCAAAACAGTAGTGAAATCAACAAAAAATTTTTTTTGCAACAATGTATTCATAATAGTTTTACTCACGTTGCTTATAGATGGAGTTTAATAAAATAAGAAAAAGAGCATTTTAACTGTCATTGAAAATATTGCAATACATATCGCAATACAGTTAAAATATCACAATATATCGCAATACAAAATTTCCAGCCGATACCCAGCCATAAGTAGCACTTATCATGACTTGCTCTGATGCACCCTGAATTAAATTTGCAGTAAAAGTTCGAATAAAATGTGTCAGTATTATTCTCTATTGAGAAGTTGATGGCTTGTTTTAATACTCCACCTACTTCCCTGTATGGTCTGAAATTTTGTTAATTACCCTATTATTATTTCTTCGTTGATTGTCCTGTTCCAGCCAGTCTGGGCCTCCTCCATGTAAAATCTGCTCTCTTAACCACACCAGGCTGATGAAAGCACACAATGTACACGTCACCACAAAACACCCATGGAAACAGTCTGAGGCTAAGTTCTCACTAGAAGAGTATACAAATAAAGCAGAGTAATAAAGCATGCTAACACAAGTATCAGCTACTGGGAACATTTCTGAATTTAGGGCCATTATACTGTAAATCACTTATATTTGTATGACTTTATTTTGCAATGCAAACCATTCTTTATTTGCAACTAGAAAACTGACCAGTCAGCAAGGGCCCCACTGAGGGGTAGAAATATAAGGTGCAGCTTACAGAATGAGAATTTTAATACAAAAATTTAAAAATATACCGGTATGAAGAAGAGTATCCCTGTATTTACATAAGGCAGTAAAAAACATCATATCTATAATAACTCAATTAAATGTATATTTAAACAAGAATAAAGCATGTGTTTTATAAAATGCCAGCCTTCAGTGAATGCAATTATCACCCAGACTTGACCTTAACTTCAAAACTAACATCAATTGCAGACAAAGGTTAATTTATCTTAAAGTGACAAATAAAGATAAACCTGGAAAAATTTCTGCCCCAGACATGATAATTAATCCCTGGGGATTTGTTGTACTGCTCTCTCATCCTTTTCTTCCAAGTTTACAATAAGAACTTTTTCAGTAATGATAGAATGAGTTTATTATTGGACTACCTGTTAAAATTAATAGTGTTCTTGAATTTACATAAGGCAGCAAAAAAAAAAAAAAAATGAATAAATAAATTAATAAACAAAATAAATAAAAAAAAAAAAAAAAAAAAAAAAACCCATATCGTTATGTATATCTTGTTTTTAGAATTCAATAAAATCATAACTCATTGTGTATTTTACCAAAACAAAGTATGAACATTATTTAAATCCACATTTCAGAGAATGTAAACATCATTCAGAAGGTCACCATTCAGAACTGACCTTAACTTAAAAACAAACTTCATTTGCAGACAGAGGTGTTAATTATCTCAATTTGACAGAAACAGACAATGCTTTGGATTTTCTTTAAGAGGAAAGTTAATTAATCAGATGGGACTAGTTGCAGCTTTCATAGTTTACAATAGGAACATTCTCAGCAGTTATCTCTCATTGCTCTGGCATTCATTCTAATGTAAAGTTAAGGAATCTACCCCACCACCCCAGCTCCAAACTGGATGACATAGAGAACAAGACTTAGCATCAAAATATGTCTTACTGCCTCTTCAACCAACATACCAAATTTGAACTTAATTGGTCAACTACAAAAAAAGTTTTTAGTAAAAAACAGAAAGTTTGTGGAAGAATGACAGACGGACAGACAGACGGATGGACAGACAGACAGACAGACAGAGTGATTACTATAGGGCACCCGCAAATCCTTGCGGGGCCCTAATGATTTGGGTTTAACAAGAACTTTAGTTATAAGGCATTCATGAATAAAATGAGATTTAGTTGTTGTGTGTTGTCATTTGAATTTTGTCAGATGACTCCTAGATACTCAAAATGTTGTACATACGTGGATAGCATATCTAGAGGTAAGGTTAGCAATGAACTGACAGATCCTGTGAATAGACATCTGTATATACGACCTAAAAAAGAAAATTTATAGTTTTGTATGAAAATACAAGTATGAAAGTTCAATTAATGTTGTATAAAAGGGACAATAAAAACAGTTCACAAGAGAAATGATGATATACAACATTTTACAATTTAATTCTTCTTCTGCATATATCACACAAAAAGAAAATTCTAACAAGAGGCCCATGAGCCACAACACTCATCTGAGCACTTTGGCTAGGAAAAAGCAGAAATCAGTTCAGTATTGAAAAGTTTAAATATATAAGTGGTCCCAACCTAATAAGGAAGGGATGGGGGGGGGGGGGGTATGATTTGAATAAACTTAAATTTACACTAACTGAGGATGCTTCAATATTTCTTTGACTAGTAATGGTTTTAAAAGATTTTTAAAGATTATATTCCTATAAGTTTTATCTTTCATTTATATTTTCTGGCCCACTGGCTTTTAAGAAGATTTTTAAACCATGCCATAAAATTTTCACTAATTCATAATTATCTCCCCTTGGAAGAAGGTGTGGCCCTTCATTTGAACAAACTTGAATTCCCTTTAGCAAAGGATACTTTGTAGCAAGTTTGGTTAAAACTGGCCCAGTGGTTCTGGAGAAGATGATGAAATTGTAAAAAGTTAACGATTACAACAACAACAACGGCAACAACAATGACAAAAGACAACTGATAAATTTTGATCAGAAAAGCTCACTTGAGCCTTCGGCTCAGGTGCACTAAAAACTAATAAAACTGTATACTCAGAAAAAAAAATGGCTGACTATATATGTCTTATAATGGCCCAAAGGGATTTCCCTCAATTTTTACAGCTGAGGGTTTAAAGCAAAAAAAAAAAAGGTTTAATTTGTACTAAAAATTCATCAAATATGAAGAGTTTTTCCTTTCAAAATCAGTGACATCTGTAATTTGTATTTTCTTGTCATAATATCTGACTAATGACATCAGAGTTGATGTAAATTTTTAATGATTTGAAGTCTACAAATATTGCCCTGGTTTAGAATATACAGATTTTCCAAATAAAGTTTGGTTTTGGAAGGCCGATAATCATAAATATTGTCATTGGAAACCAAGACTTTTTGGTCCACTACACTCACTTAAAACCCTTGGCAGTTCACACTATTAAAATTGTGGATGAAACACATGTACATGTATTTTATTTATTTGAAGCTATACCCTTCAAATCACTGAAAAGACTGCTGTCTCATTTAGCCATGTAAATGTAGGAAAAAACAGACAATATTTATATAAAAGCAATTTACCACTCTCTGTTCATGTGTCCATATATACATTCTGTTCTTGCTACAATTCTATTTGCCCCAAATTAGCCTGCTGTTACTGTGCCTGGGAAGGTCAAGCAACAGGTGGGGCCAATGGCCCCACTGTTCATAAAATGATGGGGCCATTTTGAAATTTAAGGGGCCGAGGGGAAATATATTGGAGCCATTCTAAAATAAATCATAGTATGATGCTATATGATAATGCATTTATCTCTGACAACAAAATCCAGGAAAATTCAAAAGAAAAATGCGATAGGAATTGACATGTCATATGACATTGACTGGTGCAAATGATTTTTCCATTTCTAAGAAATTGAATCAGTCAATCGTCATCTACATTCTACCAACTAGTATTTAGAAAAATTATATTTTATAAAACCAAAAGCACCATTTTTTTACGATGCTGATTTAGAGATCACAGAACAGGCCAAAATAAGTGGACTTCGTTGAAAAGGTTTTTCATTGTAAGGTATATAAATTTTCCATGTCCGTGACTTTCGTAAAGCTGTGGTCAACCATCGAAAAAGACTTGACACTTACGAATCGAACGACATGAAAAAAAACTGTTTCTTTGCCAGTGGATGTCAATATGCCGAATAATGGTTCCGATTATATCATTATAATACATCACAGATTCTGTATAACTTCGATGAAGAATACAGATAGCGCGGACTGCGATGAACTTACAAAGTAATAAAACATGCATAACCGCATTTTTGCGGGGTGCGCCGCATGCCGCTGCGCACCATTATTTCATTGCGCCATTTTCAAGAGTATGCGCATATGGCGCATGCCGCAGCCCCTTCCCAGGCCCTGCTGTTAATTTACCTTTACTTTTATCTTTCGTGTACATCTATAGATCTTGCTCACAATAGATAGTTGTCTACAATAAGGAAACTGTTGCCTGGTTGGGCAGAATCTACGGATATATTTTGGACACAAAGATTTTGCTAATTGTTGGCCACAGATTTAATGGTGTAATCTGCCAATGGGGGGGGGGGGGGGGGGGGCTAGCAGTCAGAAAAGCTCATGCAGATATGTGATTGCATACAGTTCTACAGTTCTTTGCTCTTTTAGTATTCTTCACAGGATTTTTCTATACTTACAGGCAGTAAGGGGAACAACTCCCAGCCAGGCAAATGCCACCAGTGTATAGTGAAACCAGTACCTTACTGCTCTCCCAATACTGGACAATAATCCCCCAAATATGTCCTTAATTGGCAATCTCTTTGGCATATCAGGGGAATAAACTGAAAAGAAAAATTATTCCTAAAGCATATCCAGTCCTGGATTCTTTGGAATAAATGCAATTCACTGATATTTAATATTGTAGATACTAAATTACCTTTAAATATTATTACTTAATTATAGAGTTTATTTCTGTCTACAGAAATATATCAGGTTGATCAGTCTCACAGAGGGCCCAGTTTTGCCTCAGTGTCTATGCCATTGATCAATAAGATGGTTATTTCCATACAAATGTATATAGTAAGTCATAAACTAATAAATGGTTTATTTTCTCAAAGACCATGATTTGACAGACATGTACACAAGTACTGATGATAAAAAATATCAAGATGGTTAGGCATTAGCCATGTTGCCATATATAAATACTTACCTGCCACACATTGAAAAATAGCCAACAGTCAGGTGTCATATTAAACCAATGAAAGTGTGAGATTTCAGTTCAAGGGAAAATAAAATTTATTAGGATCATTCTGGATTCAAAGAAAATATTTAAAAATCGTTGTCAGAGAATTTCTGTATGGCCACTTACTTGGAGTGAATGCAAATCTGTGTTTACATAATTCACAATATTCTTTTCTACTGTATTTAAGCCATTGCACCAAGCTGAAAATGAACAAAAACAGATGTCACATGGGTAACAAAGTCAAATGACATCCTCTCTGAAAAATTAATACATGCATATGAGATCCCTTCTTCTGGACCCAAACTAGGTCAGATGCCAAATATACAGATACTAGTAAACACATAAACAATTATGTAAAGGAAATCTACATTGTCTCCTCCCCCAATCCCATTAACCTCAGGAACCAGAATTTGCACAAAACTGACTCTGTATTACTGGATAAGATTGTCTGCATATAAATTTGGTGATTTAGGCACTTTTGTTCCAGTAAGACTTCTTAATAGCATTTTTATTGACCTATATATTCCTATGTTTAACTGTGAACCCCAACTATAGTCAAAAGAGAATGGATAAAACTTATATTTGCAATACCTGAGGATGCTTGCCTATCAATTTACTTAATTACAATATTGTTGTTCTTGAGAAATCACCCTAGACCCAAGGTGTATGACTTGCACAACCTTGAAGGACCACTACAATTGGATGTTTTCATGTAAATTTGAGTATTTAAAGCCTGGCTATTCTAAAGAAGAAAGATTTTAAAGAATTTTCCTTAAATATGGTAAAAGTTTAAACCCCCTATTGCAGACCACCCTTGCCCTTATAATTAAAACTTATCAAATTTTAATCTGCACTACGTGGGGATGCTTGCATAACAATTTCACTAATAATTGCCCTACTGTTCTCAAGAAAAATGGTTTTTTAAAAAATTCTGATATATTCTTATTAAAAAATACTTAGTCAAACCTTGCTATCTTGAACTTGACAGGACCGAGATTAAACTCTGAGATATCCAAGATTCAAGAAAATGAGGGTAAAAAAATAAACAAAAACAGTTTGGGACTTCCAACAGACTTCAACATATCCCTGGTATTCAAGATATTGGTGTTAAAGATAACAAAGTTCACTGTACACGTCTTCCCTATTGTGGCCCAGCAAATACTCAAAGGTTATGATCTGAGTAAGTTTTTATCTAAATTTTATATTAATTTGTCCCTTTATGTTCATAAAAATGGAATCCCTTTACCCAAGAAATTTTTCTGCTAAATTTAAATTGGTTACCAGGTAAATAGTTCTTGAAATTGTACAAAATTTACAACTGTCAACAGAAACCAGATGATGGAGAGACAATAGATATTTAATCAAAAAAGTTAATACCAATAGTGAGCTAATAAGGTTTAATTAATAATAAGCATATAGATTATTAGAAATACATGTACAGTCAAATCTTGTTATCAAGAACTCAAATGGACTGAGAAAAGACTTCAAGATATCAGAGGGTTTGAGACATTGAGGGTAAAACACATAAAGAAAAAGTGGTTGGGACCTCCAAATGACTTTAGCATCCATGGTTTTTGAGATATCTATGTTGATACACAGAAATTCAACTGTATTTACTTAAAATAGCACGCATTTAAATTTTCTAATAGAAATATTTAGTAAATTAATATTAGCATTGCAAACATATTTATTTTTTAATTTCTTCATGTCATTGTGGGTTTTGACTGCAATTTTCTGTCAAATTTATATTGTAGTTTTGTACATCTTTGTATAATAAAGATGGGAAGGAAACTACAGATACAAACATCCTACAAACCAGAACTGAGTAATCTCGAGATACAAATTCTTAATAAAATCACTGATGATACAGATATTACTTACCAGTCTTGATGTATGTATCGTATACTTCCTGTACATACACAAGGGTGATATAAAGGTTTGTCTGGAGTACTCTCACAGCGACAGACACGACATATGTCTGAAAGTTTAAATATTTCAACAATAAACTCCATATATACCTATGATTATACATATAGCCCTTTGAAATAGAAGAAACATCATTAAGGGTTAGATGCTGAACTCCAAGTCATGCAAAAATGCCCTCTTTAAAAATACAAGACATGCACATATGTATTGCAATATAATGACTGTAGTCAAAATCATAAACTGTAAGATGGCTTATTAAGTCTTGCCCAGTATTCAAGTTTTTGTTAGACAATGATCTGACTCGGCTTATCCCTAATTTGAAAAATGCAAAGAAATGAAAGTAATTAATTCTTTGCTCCAACCATTCCAACTTGACTTATAGCCAGCACCGGGAGCTTTATAAGTGCAAAGCACTGCTCATGTAACAAGCTCTACTGACCATTTTTCAAGGAACTTCTTAGAAGTCTATGTGAAAAAATTCTAAAACTTTCTATCCTCTTTGCACATGAAGCAACAATGTAGCATAGTGTAACAAGGATGTAATAATTTTTTTTCCCGATTTTGTCAGAAATATATTAGCAGTCCTGAATCTTTTTATCTTTCAATCTTCAAGTTACAGAGAGTAGCCATATAAGTCTAAAATAAAATATATATCTTTTTTGAGACATAAAAATCATACAAAGAAAATGATATGGGACACAATAAATACAGTCTACAAAGTTTACTGAAAATTATGACCTTCACTGTCTTAGGCAGCAATATGCAAAATATAAGCAGATCTATTATTAAGACGGAGACATAACAGATATTCACAACTCTGCCATAACGTGTATTTACTGAAATATGTGATGGTCCTAAAAATTACTTTTAAATTCATCAATTTTGTTTTTCAGTCTAAAGTTAAATTAATATTAATTTTATTATATACATGATATATGGGTGTAACAATAGTAAAGTTTTAAAACTAAGAATTAAATATTACAGAAAACTAGCCGTAATAAAAAGTCAATGATCAAAAGTTGGCAAAATCTCAGAGATATGGTCGACCATGGGTTTCCTGTTGCTATTTCAGATTTCTCCCTTGTTATTGTATGAAATAAATCCTGTATCATTTTTTGATATGAAATAGGTTCTACTTCATTATCCTTGGTAATTTTAAGGATTCCTGCGATTTAAATGGTGCGATATTTGAAGAAAAAAAAATAATGATGCCTGGCATACGAGAAATCCCAAGATTTCGAACAGTTGCAAATCTTAATTTATTATCATGTCTCTGCTGTTATTTTAGAGAAGTTGATTGCATCAGTAACAAAGCTTACTGCACTCATTCTGATAGTTCCACCATCTAACATATTAGGATGCTAATTTTTTTTTCTACACAAGAAAAAAATTACATTTCTACAAGACTCTGTGGTAGAATATCTAGGCGAAGTATCGAGGATACAATATTGTAACTGTTTGGGCTGTGGATATTAGCATGGGTAGCTCAGTTGGTAGAGCGCCTGACTAGTGATGCAGGGGGTCTGGGTTCAATTACTGGTCCAGCCATACATTCTCTCCTTTCTTGTTACGTAATTTGGGGCTGTTGACCACCCCCTGGACTTGCAGGTTAAAGTCCCGCCACAGGGGCAAAAAAGGAACTTGGGTTATGTCTTCAAGAGCGAAGACAAAAGGAGAGAGGCATGTAATGGTTTGGGCTGTGGATATCATTCTGGGTAGCTCAGTTGGTAGAGCGCCTGACTAGAGATGCAGGGGTCCCGGGTTTGATTCCTGGTCTAGCCATACATTGATTTTCCCCTTTTCTGTTACATACAGGTTTAAACCACTTCACATGACCTCTCTGTTTACAAAAAATATTATTCATTTGACAACACACAAAATACAATGAAATCAAAGAGTCTAGTCACTGTCTAAAGCTGTCTTAATTTTTTAAAGTGAAATAAATATGCACAGATGGACTAATTGGATGATGAAAGGAAAGGTGTAGAATATGCCTCTGTTTCATATTAGTAAACTACACCTGGATATTGACGAAATTAATACACTACAGAATCAAAAAAGTAAAATTTAAAATGCTGATATGAAGAGGTTCATCTACAAAATAAAAGAGAACAAATAATACCTGTATGAACTTCTGATTCCTCCATCTTGGGCAATATTGGTACTTTCGGTTGTCGTAAAATAAAAAAAAATATAAAACGAAACAGTATTGATTTAAGATCAATGTAGTTCATATCACTTAACAAAATGGAAAACAAACAAATCGATTATGCAGTATATTCTTCTTATCATTTTTGCTTGAGTGTTTATTTTTACGACTTACTTTTGCAACCTCTTTACGGTAGCACTTGCTTCGGAAACCAGGGACGCTTGTATTAGCTTTAGTCCGAAATGGCTCGGTGATAAACATTGGGAAAATATATTGTAAACATTCAGGAATGTTAAAATGACAACTTTAAGTGAAGACAACGATTATTTGGCAATTGAAACTAAATCTGAAAGTAATGACGGCCGATTAAGCGCTGCGACATGGGAACATGAAGATCTGGCACAAGTGAGAGAGGAGACAGCTTTATTCAGTCTTGTCTTTTATAAATATTGATATTGTTTGACTTCGTTCAAGCTCGAAGTTTATCGTTCAAAAGTTATATAAAGTTTGTCTCTGTAGTTTTTAAGAGAAAAAAAATCAATGTTGAAAAAATACAGGTATATAAATGAAATCTTAAAATTAAATTTTCTATTATAATAATACTAGATCTAATGGCAGGTCAAAGTATATGGGGTCTGTTCTTGGACATACTGTACATGTAGTGAGAATATATAAATCATGTATACCTGTTTGTGTGCTTTCACAAGATGAACAACATTGAACATGTAATACAAATTTTACATTGTTTACATTAAATTGAATTTTCCAGGTAAAGATAAGGGTTTTTCGAGGTCATACAGATGCAGTTAATTCCTGTACATACATTGACAATGACTCAAAAATCCTCTCTGGGTCCTCAGATAAAACAGCCCGTATATGGGATATTGACTCGGGAGAGTTAAAACATCATTACACTGGAGGACACGAGGCAGCTATATCAGAAACAAGTATCAATGACAATAGTCGGAGGTTATTACATTAATTTTCATAATTATCTCTTCAAGATAATAAATATTTGTTAAGTCATCATTGAACATTATATAAATATATTTTATTAAGTTGTATGTTGCATGTTAACAGGTTTGTGAGCTCGGGCTGGGATAAGAAAGTCCAGGTGTGGGACATAGAATCTGGAAACATCTTGGTAAGAAGAGGGATTTTAATACTGAATTATAAATGTCTCTTTCTCATTCATTTATGACATACTAGTACATGTAATTTGCTTGTTGTAATTATTGCAGTGGACTGGTAGACACGGAGGAATTGTCACTTGCTGCAAGTTTTCCCATGATGGAAAATTAGTTATCTCTGGCTCAGATTTAGACAACACACTAAAAATCTGGGATGCTAACTCTGGAGAACTCATTACATATCTTGAGGGTATGTTGAAATCATCAATGATTCAATGTCAAAATATCATACTATGGATTATATCATACTTAGTCTAAAGGAATCCTTTTGCACAAATAGCGTGTGTTGGCCAGGCGGATTCAATCACTGGTGGCAAGATAGCTCAGTTGTTAGAGCACCTGACAAGTGATTCAGAGGACCTGGGTTTGATTCCTGGTCTAGTTTGTCACATTTTTCTTCCTTGCCAGTTAATTTTCATGCAATGACCATGCCCTGGGAGTGACAGGTGAAAGACCTGCCAGGGAAGAGCCTGGTTTTGTGTCTTCAGGGGCAAAATCCTTAAAGGAGGGAGGAATGTGGTGATCAGGCATGTTCCATCACCAGTTCACCAGTGGCCAGATAGTTCAGTTGGTAGAGCACCTGACTAGTTATTCAGGGGGCCTGGATTTAATTCCTGGTCTGGTCTCTCACATTTTCTTCCTTGCCAGTTACCTGGTACATTAGGTGCCATGACCATGAACTGGAAGAGACCTGCCAGGGAAGGGCCCAGGTTTGAATCTGAGTCTGGTCCTTTGCATTTTTCCACTCTCTGGTACAAGTGTTTATGCAATTTTATTTTTATTACAGATCATCATGACAGCACCATAACAAGCTGTATTTTTGCACCAGGAGATGACAAAGTTATAACAACATCAATGGATCGAACCTCTAAGTTTTATGATCTGCGAACACATAAAGTTACAATACAGTTAGAGTATGTTGATCAAATGCTTAAAGAATATAACAAAAATAAAAAAAAAATAGTTCTTTTGAAGTTCAAAATTTTTTAAAGGAAATCTGCATTTATTTCATTAAATAACATATTATGAAACTATGTTTTCTTTAAAAAATGCTTGTTTTAATACAAAGAAATAATTTTGCTTCATGTGGTCTTACTGTCCATCATTAATTAAAAATTATAACAATTTTAGAGGACATATCAACATTATAGCTGATTGTGACATCTCGTTTGATGAGAGGAAATTTGCCACAGCCTCCTGGGATAAAACCATTAAGATTTGGGATGTGGCCACTGGAGCCTACAGGTCAGAATTATTTCATCGTGTTGCACCTGTTAAACACCGTAAAAAACTAATAAATACTTTGTCTATGGTACAGGATAAAGCATAATTTCTTATTGTCCCTCACTTTCCCACTTTAGTGAAAGCAAGAAGACATTAAATCTCGATCTGTCAGTCTGTTTTTATCGCAACATTAACCTTGGTTATAACTTTTGAATGAGAAATGATAGGGCTTTCATATTTCACATGTACAATATCTGTGACAAGACTTTTCCAAATATACTATGATTTTTGACCCCATTACCTTGAAGTTTGACCTACTTTTCAAAAATTTAAATGTTACTTTTACCTTAGTCATAACTTTTGAATGAGAAGAGATAGAGTGTTCATATTTCGCATGTACATTACCTGTGATAAGAATGTTCCAATTATGCCATGATTTTTGACCCTGTGACCTTGACCTTGAACTTTAACCTACTTTTCAAAATTTTTTAATATTGGTATAATTTTTTAATGAGAAAAGATAGGGTGTTCATCTTTGACAAGCGCATTACCTGTGATAAGAAGTTTCCGCATGTTTAATGATATTTGACCCCTGACCTGACCTTGAAGTTTGACCTATAATTTTCAAAAATGTTATCATTGCTGCTAACTTTTGAAGGAGAGAAGATAGGACATTCATATTTGACATGTGCATTACCTGTGACAAGATGTTTCTAAATATACTCTGATTTTTAACAATAGGACCTTGAAGTTTGACCTAATTTTAAAAAAAAATTTAAAATTGCTGATAATTTTTGAGTGTAATGAAGATTTGGCACATATATTTGACATGTGCATTACCTGTTTCAAGACCTTTCCAAGTGTACTCTGGTTTTTGACCTCCTGGCTTTGACCTTAAAGTTTAATCTTCAGTCTTTTTCAATGTTTTTTTTTTTTGACATTGGTAATAACTTTTCAATGATAGAAGACAGGGCTTTCATATTTTACATGTATATTACCTATGACAACAACTCTCAGAAGGATATATCGATCATATCACTTCATTACCTTGACCTAGAAGTTTGACCTACTTATCAATTTTTAACTTTGGCCATAATGTTTGATTCAGAAGAGACAGGGCTTTCATTTTTTTCACATGTGCATTGCATGTGACAAGAATTTTCAGATTGTGTTATGATATTTCACCTCATGACCTTGAAGTTTGATGCAGTTTTGAGAAGCTTTAGTCTTGGCTATAAATTTTATTAATTTGATAATTTGTATCTTTTTTGTATGATGGGCAAGACAGGACATACAAACAAGACAGTTACAATATGCCATAAATAATTGCATCCTAAACACTAAGACACCAAAAGACTGGGACCACAATTCTTTGAATTCACTTGTATATGAATTAGCTGATAAGTAGTTTTGAAACATAGCAATATACATTGTAATTATTTCTTAAATGCTTCGATCACTATTTATGGAATTTTTAGCTCACCTCAATGAAGTTGGGGGGAGCTTATGTAATACCCTCAGCATCAGCATCCCAAGTTAAAGTTTTTGGAGCAGGTTTCTTTTCAAGTACTTCTATGCTCAATATTAATCAGTTATGCATGGATGATGCTTTTAGTATGTTTCCATGTACCAGTTGATGTTTCAGATGCTGCAATTTCAGTTAAAGAATGACTAGGTTTATTAATGTTTTTGGAGCAGGTTAAAGATTTTGGATCAGGTTAAAGTTTTCTTGGAGCAGGTCTCATTTCCAAGTAACTACATGTATAAGCCCTATATGGACTAGACTTGCATGGATGATACATCTAAGGATGCACACTACTGGACTTGCTTCAAATGCTGGATTTAACCTGTATTTTTGGTTGAGTGGCCAGATTTAAGTTTTTGGATCAGGTTCATTCTAAAGTGAGTATAAGCCCTATGTTAACCAACTTTGCATTGAAGATACATTTATTGATGCACACTACCAGAGTTGCTTTGGATTCAGGATTTGACCTACATTTTCCAGATGAGTGACCAAGTTAAATTTTTTTTAGTATACCCATTCCAGTGTACCTAGACCAAACTTGCATGGATGATGCATCAAGGGATTAACACTCTCAAAACTTGCTTCAGATGCTGAGTTTGACCTAAATTTTCTGGATGTGGATGAGTGACTAGTTTAAAGTAGTTTTTAGAAAAAGTCCATTCCCAAGTAACCACAAGTGCTATCAGACCAAAATTACATAAATGTTGCATCTAGGGATGCACACTACTAGATTATTAGTTAAGTGTGTGATTTTGTCTTACTTAAAGACAATATTCATTGAGGTGAGCTCTGTCATATATATATTTACCTATGTTTATTCTTTTAGACAATTAAGGCAAAGAATTTTCCTTTTTCCAGGTCTCGGGGTCCAGGTTCTCTCCAGGGATCCCATGAGGGAACAGTCAGTTGCTGTCAGTTCAGTAGAGATGGTAAGTCAGGGAATAGTTAGTGGCTGTTGGTTCAGTAGAGATGTAAGTGAGGGAACAATTAGTTGCTGTCAGTTCAGTAGAGATGTAAGTGAGAGAACAGTTAGCTACTGTCAGTTCAGTAGAAATGGTAAGCGAGGGAACAGGTAGTTGTGTCAGTTAAATAGAGATGTTAAGTGATGGAATGGTTAGTTGTTGTCAATTCAGTAGAAATGGTTAGTGAGGAACAGTTAGTTGCTGTCAGTTCAGTAGAGATTAAGTGAGGGAACAGTTAGTTGCTGTCAGTTCAGTAGAGATTAAGTGAGGGAACAATTAGTTGCTGTCAGTTCTGTAGAGAGGGTAAATGAGAGAACAGTTAGTTGCTGTCAGTTCAGTAGAGATGGTAAGTGAGGGAGCAGTTATTTGCATCAGTTCAGTAGAGATGGTAGTGAGGGAACAATTAGTTGCTATCAGATCAGTATGGATGGTAAGAGATCAGTTAGTTGCTGTCAGTTCAGTAGAGATGGTAATTAATTGAGAGAACAGTTAGTTGCAGTTGGTTCAGTAGAGGTGGTAAGTGTGAGGACTTGAATAACTTGTATTTCATTGCATCAGTGATAAATGTGCTTCCACAACATCAAAATTTGTACATATATATTTATATATTGATTGTTTACTAAAGAAGTCTTTTGTCATTTCTGTAGATTAAAGGAAAAAAGGAAATTAATGCAGCATATTTAATCATATTATATAATAATCATTACCTTGAAAATGTACTAAATGGTTTTAAAATTAGCTATTTTTTGTTGTTAGGTCTAATGCTGGTATCTGGTTCCTATGACAACACTTTGGTTGTCTGGGATGTTGATAATGAGATGCAGAAACTTCAACTGCAGGTAAAATCACCTGATATTTTGTCACATAGTCTGACAAAAGTTAACAAGTTATTTCCCTTTGTAGCTATTCTAGTGTCCTCTTAAACAATCTCTCTCTCTCTCTCTCGCGTCACATTAGCAGATGACACGAACAAAAGATGGTCAGCAATAAATAAATATATGATCTTAAATATGGTACCAACCTAATGCCAACAAAGTAGCTATAAATTGCTGTCATTTTTGGTCCAAATTTTAGAGATACTGTAGTTATGCTGTAGTGGTAATCATATCTTAATTTTCTGTACACTGCCTTCTGTCCACTAATTTAAGTACACATTAATAAATGATTAAACAAATACTGCACTAACTTTATCAGTTCAAAATAGTTAATCAGCTGCTGAAGAATATTGCACTAAATTTTTATTGTGCTAATTTATGTACGATTACAGTATTATTATCTTCGCTAGCCAAGGGTTTCTGATCCACACTATGTTTGAGAAGCGGTGCGGATCAGAAACCCTTGGCTAGCAAAGATGCAGCATTAATGTCAATAACGATGTACAATAAAACTTTCATGTAATTACTCATTTGCATAAATAAATCAGAGCTAAAATTACAATTTTAAATTGATTTTTTTAATAATTTAAAATTACGAATTAAAATTACAAATTACAATTACATTTTTTTTTCAGGGTCATGAAGACTGGGTACAAGATGTCTGCTTCAGTATGGACCAAAACAACATTCTCTCAGCCTCCAAAGTATTTATGTTTTTATATTTATAACATTAAAATTATTCTTATCTCATTAACAGAAAATGTTTCACAATAAGTTAAATGAAGTTGATATTTTAATTGATGTTAAGATATTTACATCATTAAGCTCCTTTACAGTTGTAAGCACTAAACAATAATATTTTTTATTCTTAAAATTGAAAATGCACTAAATACAATGACTTTATGAATCACTTTTAATCAATTTGAAGGAAAGTTATTAATACCAGCTGTTCCTGTGGAACAAAATAATGTGCTGAGGATGACCAAATTTTCACTTCATTTAATTTTGCAAGAGCTATTTATTTTAATTCTTAAAATTGAAAAAGCAAAAAAATTCAATGAATTTTAACTACACCTTTTTTTGCAAGAGCTAGTATTTGGTTTTCATAAGTGACTAAAAAAAACCCATGAATTTAGACTATTGTTTTATAAATTTTTGCTAGCAGAAGGTCCTGCATAATAACAGGAAAACTAGATGCTGTCATAAGACAGTAATACCCGCACTAATGTGTTTGCCTCTAAATGCAGGCACGTAGCATCAGGGCCTGTCCCCCCCCCCCCTCTTTTTTCAAAACATAACTTTTTACTATGGAAAATGTTCATGAAAGGATGGTTGTCTCTCCCCCCCCCCCCCACTTTTTGTTGCATTATAGTCAAATAAAGGTAATGTAGTAGTGTTTATATAAAATTGGGGTACTGAAAGAAGTTGGAACCCACCCCACGAAATAGGATTTTCAAGTTGAGTTTTGAAAAAAAAATTTTTTGGCTTGTCAAGTTTTTTCAGGTGAGTTGATTTTTTTTTCTCTAGCTGCCCCCCCCCCCCCCTTTTAAAAATGTTGCTACGTCCCTGAAATGTGCTCTGACTGCTCTCCTTCAAATTCTGGTAACCAGGGAAGAAGCACACATTTAAATCGAGCATAAAATGCTCAGGTGAACATTCAACCCATATGGGCCTCTTATGTAAATCAGGTGCGGATCCAGGAATTTTTTCCAGGGGGATCCAACCCAGAAATTTCTTGACAAGCCAAAAAAAACAAAACAAAACCAAAAAACAAAAAAAACAAAAAAACAAAACAAAAAAACAAAAAACACTTAAACTCCTCTCCCAAATGTGAAAACCTATTTCATGGTCGTGTGTGTGTGTGTGGGGGGGGGGGGGGGGGAGGGGTTTAGCCGTTCACTTTTTAAGCTTCATATGTATAACTTTTCATACCAACTTAACAGGGGTCCGTGTTTTCTAGGAAGGAAGGGGGGGGTGTTCCAAGGTCACTTTTAGTTGCTTTCGTATATAGATTTCGTATAAAGGTTCCGGACCCCCTCCCCCTCTAGTTCTGCGCATGTAAATATTTCATTACCAGTCTGATATTACCTAATAATGTAAATTCTGATAAAGAGAGAATTTTTGAAAGATTTGTGTAAAAAAAGGGGGGGTGGTTAATTTTCTACCCATCATTGGAACTTCTTGAATTCATTGTCAAAACAACAAATATTATTATTTTAGTGCATAGCTTTTTTGATGAACTTAAAAAAAAATTAGATGCCAAAATGACAAATTACGCAAATTTTTATCAGTATTTGGGTAGGACTCGGAGAACCCCTTTCCAAATCTTGACCCAATCAAAAATCAACCCCCACCCACGATTCACCTGTTTTCCTGTCATATTTAGAATAGATGACACAAACTTATGAAAAAAAATTGTATGTAATTATAATATAAATTTTACAAATGTACACCTTTTTGGAAAATTTCTAGACTAGTGCATACGTCACACTGCGAGCACTACTTTTACCGTTATCATTATTGTTTTGCACATGGTGTATGTTCATCATTATTATCACTGGGATTATTAATATTTAGTGTGTGTTTTAAATGGATTTATTACTCTATCAAGTTAACAGTACCTATAACAGGCGGTAAGTACATTATGAATATATTATTTTAAAGGTTTAGTAAAGAACGGGGTTTGTTTGTTGTTTAACGTCCTCCTCGAGAATTTTTCACTCATATGGAGACTCCACCACTTGCCGGTGGAGGGCTGCAAATTTTAACCACCGGACCTCGGTTTATACAGTCTCATCCGAAGAACTGGTCTCCACGTCCCGCAGTGAATTCGAACCCGCGACGTAAGGATCAACTCCTTACTCCATGACTCTAGTCAGTCTAGAGCAGACGTTCTAACCACTGCTCGATGCTCCACACAGGTGACTAGAACGGGGTAAAATAATCGGAAATGAAAATGGTTAGGGGCCTATAGGTGGAAAAGGGTCAAAGATCATTGGAATGCAACAATTATACAATGAGGCAAGTTCCTGGGGTCATTCCTCTCGTTCTATGGAACCGGAAACAATAAAATAGCTTTCATTAGAGCAAAAGCCCCTAAGTCATCTTTGTATTATTTCATTTCATTTCATTTTATTCAGGTACAAATATCACAGAATGTCATGATTACACACATTTAAAACATTACAGATTAGCCTACTAATAGAAAAAAAAACCAAACCAACAGACATTATCTCAGCACTATGCTACTTAATAAAGATCTAATTGAGCATATACATGTATTATTATATTAGTTACATGACATACAGATGATAGGTATTACCTAAGGATAGCCCATAAAAGCTTTTTTTAAAATCTTATTTCCAGTGGGGTCCTTAAATTACAAATATGTTAGTAACAAAAAAATTACATTAATATTAATAATGGAATTTAGGCAGGGTACTTGAATGAATATAGCATAATGCTTTGAAAAATGACATGTTTCTCATTACACATTTACCTTAAAAATTATCACAATAATGCTTATAAAACTAAAATAAAATTAAATAGAAATAAAATGATATATACATGTATTAAAAACATGGTTTAAGGACATTGGCAAGTCAGGGCCTTCCGGAGAAAAAAGGTTTAATACATGGGTTTTTTCACTTGTAAAATAGTGATTGAGAGTGATCTCCCGTGTAGAATTCTCTAAGCGGTGAAAACCAGTAAAGCGTATGTTATAGAGGTAAACAAAAGCACGTGTACTTCCTTCAACGGGTAGAATCATCTATACAGCAAGAAAGAAAAGTAGTAATGGCTTTGTTGTACATTGTATTCAGGGACAAAGAGCAAACAGGTCGTCATTTACCATAGTTTTGCTCAGTATGCTGGGAAGGGCAAAGATGTGACATATGCTGAAAGGTAGGTCGACCATGCCGACTGAGAACAGTTCTTAGGTCGTGTGAACGAATCAGCATTTCGTAATTACGAATAAAAGTTAAAAATAAATCCATGCCAATATTTTTATGACAATGTATTTCAATCAATTCAGTCAATTACATGATAAAAACAATCAACCGGTCACTTGACCAATTTTAGCTGTTAAGGGACGCAACTGAAAAATGATGATCGGTGCCGGTATATCCATGTCTTTTTTCTATATATATATTTTCAACCAAAATATCTAGAAGTCATAGGAAATGAAGTTACAATAATGTATATAATACAAAAACTGTATGAAATAAATGGGATTTGAAGAAATATTATGGTGAAAAATTATGTAGGTCCCTTTTATCAACATTTTACATAGGAAAATGCATTAAGAATTGTAAAAACACTAATTTGACAAAATCTAAAAAAGAATGCTGGATTGGTAGGTAAAACGATCCAGAATATAGCATATTTAGTACATTTAAACCTACTCAAAAGTTCTTGAAAAATTCTATACAATAACCAGGAACCTTGCCAATGTCCTTAATCTTAATTGTTTAACTCTATCTTCCACTCTTAACATATTCAGAGAGTCTAAACACACTAAATAGGATATATGGGGTCATGACCCCCCAGAGGTCATTCCCAACCCCTAAAACTTCAAATGATCATATACACTGTATCTTGAAAATGGTTGAAAACTCTTCCCTTAACCATATGTAATATTGTCCCTCGAGTCATTATGCATTTTAAATGGTATAAAGGTTATGACCCTTGAAGTCATCCTCACCCTGAAACTGGAAATGATCACAATATGACCTGCGTCAAAAGTGTGTTAGTGATAATCTGCTTGACATTTTATTCAGGACCCCCTAGGGTCAGTCCACCCTCCTAGAATTAGAAGATGAAAATCATTCAGAGACCATTATACTTTGTGTACATGTACATTTTTGTATTATTCACAGTTTATTTTATACCAAAACAAGTTATAAATAATCTGTATAAATAAACGAGCCTGGGGCTGGGAAGCTGGAAAAGGGGAAGGGGTTATGTCTGCATGGTCTTAAATGTTGAAAACTCCTAAAATTTGTGAATATTAACCCGGCCGTTTCCCACTTGTCATCATTATTTACTAATCTTCTCACAACATACATGTGTCTTTATTGAATCAATAGATCATAGACTTTTTTGGTCATATGCCTAGCTCTCCCTTGAATCAGGAATGGTGATATAAATATTTTAAGAATGATTAAGAATTAAAACAGGTCTTGCACAATCTCTTAAAATTGATTAAGCTCTGCAGTTGAATTAGCTATACTGGTATAGCTTGGTTTTGCTATTCAAAACACTTGATTTAGCTATTTAATCATACTTTTTTTTAATGTACATTTTTATCAATATTTTTTTACCTTGACCTTTCCTTTGACTTGACCTCACTTTTCTTAAATTTGTGTCAAAATTCATAAATGGGAATATACACTTCTCCAGAACCACTGGGCCAATTTCAAACAAACTTGCCATAAAGCATAATTGGGTAAAGGGGGTTCAAGTTTGTTCAAATGAAGGGCCACGCCCTTTTCCAAGGGGAGATAATAAGGAATTGGTGAAAATTTGGTGTCATCTTTTAAAAATCTTCTTCTCAAGAACCATTGGGCCAGAAAAGTTGAAACTTTTGTGAAACCTTTGTTACATAGTGTAGATTAAAATTTGTTCAAATCATGACCCCTGGGGGTAGGGTGGGGCCACAATGGGGGTCCAAGTTTTACATAGGAATATATAGGAAAATTCTTTAAAAATCTTCCTCTCAAGAACAACAAAGCCACAATTAGTCATATTGATATGGAATCATCCCCAGGTAGTGTAGATTCAAATTTGTTCAAATCATGACCCCCTGGGGGTAGGGTGGGGCCACAATAAGGGGTCAAAGTTTTACATAGGAATACATAGGAAAATTCTTTAAAAATCTTCTTCTCAAGAACAACAAAGCCACTTAGTCATATTGATATGGAATCATCCTTAGGTAGTGTAGATTCAATTTGTTCAAATCATTACCCCTGGGGTAGGGTGGGGCCACAATGGGGGATCAAAGTTTTACATAGGAATATATAGAAAAAATTCTTTAAATATCTTCCTCTCAAGAACAACAAAGCCACAATTAGTCATATTGATATGGAATCATCCCCAGGTAGTGTAGATTCAAATTTGTTCAAATCATGACCCCCTGGGGGTAGGGTGGGGCCACAATAAGGGGTCAAAGTTTTACATAGGAATACATAGGAAAATTCTTTAAAAATCTTCTTCTCAAGAACAACAAAGCCACTTAGTCATATTGATATGGAATCATCCTTAGGTAGTGTAGATTCAATTTGTTCAAATCATTACCCCTGGGGTAGGGTGGGGCCACAATGGGGGATCAAAGTTTTACATAGGAATATATAGAAAAAATTCTTTAAATATCTTCTTCTCAAGAACAACAAAGCTGCAATTAGTCATATTGATATGGAATCATCCTCAGGTAGTGTAGATTCAAGTTTGTTCAAATCATGACCCCTGGGAGTAGGGTGGGGCTACAATGGGGAATCAAAGTTTTACATAGGAATATATAGGAAAAATCTTTAAAAATCTTTTCAAGAACAGGAAAGCCATGATTAATCATATTGATATGGAAGCATCCCCAAGTATTGTAGATTCAAGTTTGTTGAAGGCATCCTCCAGTAGTAGGTTGTGGCCATAATGGGGGATCAATAAGTTTTATGAAAGGAATTATATAGGAAATAAATCTTCTCAAGAAAAACAAAGCCATGATTAGTCATTTTGATATGGAAGTATCCTCAGGTAGTGTACAAACAAGTTTGTTCAAATCATGGACCCCCCCCCCCCCCCCCCCCAGGGTAGGGTTTCAAACATATTTAAAATTCCATTTTAAAGAACAGCAAAACCATGATTGGTTATATGAATAAAGCAGCATCCTCAGAAGGTTTATATTCAATTTCATTCAAAACATGGCACCTGGGGGTAGGGTATGCCTAGAACAGGCAATCAAAGCTTTATATTTGAATATGTAGGAGAAGAAATCTGCTGATGAAGAACAGCAGAGCCATATTGACTCGGTGAGTGTTGTGGCCAATGGGCCTCTTGTGTAAAATGTAGGAGGAGTTCTGGGAACCAGGGTCTTTTTGTATAAAAAACGTCTTTTTTTTTACCCCCATTTGACCCCCAGGGTGAAAATGAAAATTCCAAAACCTTACTGCACATCTACATGACACCACCAACCATCTGTCAAAAGATGATTAGGCTACTGTGTAAAATGTAAGAGGAGTTCAGGGAACCAGGGGCTTTTTGCATAAAAAACGTCATTTTTTGACCCCCATTTGACCCCAAGGGTGAAAATGAAAATTCCGAAACCTTACTGCACATCTACATGACACCACCAACCATCTGTCAAAAGATGATTAGGCTACTGTGTAAAATGTAAGAGGAGTTCAGGGAACCAGGGGCTTTTTGCATAAAAAACGTCATTTTTTGACCCCCATTTGACCCCAAGGGTGAAAATGAAAATTCTGAAACCTTACTGCACATCTACATGACACCACCAACCATCTGTCAAAAGATGATTAGGCTACTATGTAAAATGTAAGAGGAGTTCAGGGAACCAGGGGCTTTATGCATAAAAAACGTCATTTTTCGACCCCCATTTGACCCCAAGGGTGAAAATGAAAATTCCGAAACCTTACTGCACATCTACATGACACCACCAACCAACTCCCAAAAGATGATTAGGCTACTGTGTAAAATGTAAGAGGAGTTCAGGGAACCAGGGGCTTTTTGCATAAAAAACGTCATTTTTCGACCCCCATTTGACCCCCAGGGTGAAAAAGAAAATTCCGAAACCTTACTGCACATCTACATGACACCACCAACCATTTCCCAAAAGATGATTAGGCTACTCTGTAAAATGTAAGAGTAGTTTGAGAAAGAAAAGTGTGACAGACGGACGGACGGACGGACGGACGGACGGACAGACATGAGTAACAACAATATACCTGAACTTTCTTTAGAAAGTGCGGGTATAATAAAGTTCTCACATGTAAAAGTGATTTACAGTATATTTTGAAGTACATAATATAAATGATTCCATCTGAATTATTTTTGAAAATGCAGATCTTACCAAGTAATTCTAAGCTCCAGTGGTGTTTAAGGAAATGAAGTGCTGCAGTTTTCATCAGATATTGATTTCTTGTATTTTCAAAGAATTCATATATATGTCTATGAAAAACTTTGACCCTATTATGGTCCACCTTTTTATTGCCCAGGGGCAATAACAAATAGGTCTATTTCACTACAAGGGAATGGTTGTACCTGTATAACTCTAATTGTGATCCTAGTGTTCTTCAAAAGAAAATATTAAAACATTTTCCAAGTATTTTTTTAAAAATTTTGATCCCAAATCAGACAGCTAGACAGATGGATGACAGACAAGCTTTGATCAGAAAAGCTAAGCTGAGCTTTGCTCGGGTTGAGCTAAAACAGAGATTTTATAGAATAGAACAGTAACATTTTTTTCATGTTGCATGTAGGATAAAACAGTACGTATGTGGAATGTGAAGGATACCGAGAAAATTCCTGTTGTCTTGGAAAGAAAGAAAGCCATGGGACTAAGTATTATGAAGGTAAATTCTCTGATATTCTTAAAAACTGAAAAACAATCATATTATAAAATAGCTATAAATGACAATACAGATGAAGAATATAAGTGTCTTTTGAACTTTGCTGCATTTCCAACCAAATCCCAGTATTTGTTTCTATTTCACAGAAAAAGAAATTCAATAGCTACCGTACATTAAAGATGTTATTTTAAAAATGATAAGCAATTCTATTTTTGACAGTTTTAAATAGTAAGCATACTTCTAGAAAAATTGAACCACACAGACTATGTTTCAGTTTATTACATTATTGTCCTTCATCATAATACTGCTGTGAATTGTGAAACACATTTGACTCAGTATTTGGGGAAGTTCTATATGTATAGAATTGAGTGAGATTTCCTTCCAATTGCAATATTACAACCTTCCGTAGTTTTGAAAATTGGTTTATTTTCAGTGTTCAAACTGTGGGAAACCATTTTCCATTTCTCAAATGGACAGTTTCCGAGACAACACAATCTGCGTCTTCTGTCGTCTCCAAAATCGGGAGCAGGAAATGATTGCCATTATGAATTCTGTACAAGTGGATGAAGATTAATCATCACTATGCCAACAGTGACTTACCATCACCATGCCAACAGTGACTAATCATCACCATGCCAACAGTGATGGATTGGAGGAGTAATGTTCTAAGCCTTTGACATTGTGGGATTTATAATATTGTGATATCAGAACACTTGAATTTAATTTCTATGCACTTTCTATATTCCTGGAAATTAAAGCTGTTATTTTGTCTTTCATAATGATGTAAGTGAATAATAAACAATACAGATAAACAACATTTTTAATACTTCCTCACCATCACACATGTATTTCAATATGAACTTGAAAAAATAAAACAACTGTTTAATTTATACAGAATATTCCTTTCAAAATATATTGAGTAACAAAAAAAAATAACTAATAGAGTACAAACAAACAATGTACACAATAATGGCAGCCAATGAACCAGATGATAATTTTTTCATGAACTCAACAATTAACACAATGCTAAAACTCAATGAAAAGAACCTCTTCATGTAATGTGTTAAATTATAATACATGACAAACAATCCTGAGTATATATACTGATATTACAAGATCTGTAAGATCAAGGCATTTTACAGTGATTCTATTTTTAAGTAAAGCATAGTTTTCTAAAGAATATTAAGGAACTAAATAAAAATGTGGTGAAAAATACTCAATACCTGTAGAAAATATTATATTGGTGAAGTATTTTCAGATTCAGTGAAAAAAACTTTAGAACTTGAGAACATTTTGAATACCTGTCTGGAATGTTACACTTGGGACAATTGTTAAAAATTTCTATCACAGATTATATTTATAGAATAATTCGGGCATATTATCCTGGTCATGACTTGAGCATGCCCTACAAATAATACATACAACTTCCAAATTACCTGTGATAAGGCATGCACACACAAAGATCTGTCAGGCCCTAGATGTAACCCAGCAATCCCCCCCCCCCCCCCAAAAAAAAAAATGTGGTATAATGTTGTCTTTATCATAGATTAGAAAACACCTATTTTCAATCAATGGACATATCATTCTTTCTAGAGAAATGATTGTAATACTATGTTCTGATGCATTTTGATTGAATAACCTAGTCTTATTAAAACACAAAGTGAACATTTACAATGGATTGTTACAATGTTAGATATTTTACAGTAGCACTCAGTTCTCTATCACATTTTCAATGATGTTATTTAGAGCATTTAACAGAATCAAATCACAGCATTCAACATATCTATGTTTAAATTAAGATTTTAAAAATGCAACTATATATGACTTACACAATATATTATGTTTTAAAAATTCTCATATCTGAACAATAACCTACAATAATAAGTTACTTGAAAAATCTCTTATTGTTTGAGTAACAAATAATATATGAAAAATGGTGGTCCAATGTATTTTTTATTTTTTTTGGTAGCCTTTTCACCAACAGGTTTCTGGTCTAAGATTTTTGCATTGATTCTTTATTTGAATCGCCAATAAAGCAACCATCTTGACTCATTTCCATGGTAACACTGCTCTGATTGGCTGCAGACTGTTGGGCTTTAGGGGAATGCCCTCCTTCTTTGTCACCAGATCCTTGGCGGCCATGGTGACGTTTAAGGTGAATTTTTAGAGTGCTGTTTTGTGCTGTTGCATATTCACAAAATGTGCATTTGAAAGGCTTCTCTCCTAAAGGAAATTAATAATATACTTGAAAAAAATGTATATACTTAAGGAATGTTTTTAAGTTTTGTGTGAGTTATTGGTGTGTAAATCACACAGACTTGTCACACAGGCATATTTCATGAAGCAAACTAGCGCTTCATGAAAAATATGCCAACGTTCAAGTCTGTGTGATTTACACACCAATAATTCACACTACACTTAAAAACATTCCTCATATTTACACTTTACATGTTTAAATGTGCCAAAAATATACTCAATGTTTGAATTTCTTGCTGCCCTATATCGTCATATTTATATAACGTCTCTGTAGCCTCATTGTGACGTCACTTTAGCGCAAGGTTCTCCATGTATATTTCTATGCGGGAGTATACACAAAAATGGTTTTCAAATCAATTTCACAGTTAGCTTAGTAGAAAAACACAGCAAATGTAAATATAAACGTACATGCAAGAAAAAGGTTGAGAAAAATTGGATCCACTTTTATCAATCATACCAAGAAAAGTTCTGAATTAAATCTCCAAACAACTCCTCAAGTATGAGTATGACAACCTTTTATCACTGAAAGCTGTCATTACCTGTGTGACAACCTTTTATCACTGAAAGCTGTCATTACCTGTGTGACAACCTTTTATCACTGAAATCTGTTGTTACCTTTGTGACAACATTTTATCACTGAAAGCTGTTGTTACCTGTGTGAATCCTGATGTGAACTTTCAGGTGACTCCTCTCTACTGTTGAATAATCACACTGCTGACACTTAAAAGGCTTGATCCCTAAAATCAGTGAGAAAATTGCAAGTCCAGCAACAACATAGAGCCAAAGAAAGCAGTGCTTAATGCCACCAGAACAATCAGTAACAAAGAAAACAGTTCTTACCTGTGTGTTTACTCATGTGTTTCTTCAGGTGGATTCTCTGATTGAAGGCATTGTCACATTGATCACACTTGTATGGCTTGGTGGTAGGGTATCTTCTCTTCCGTCCCAGTTTTCCATCTCCATCCTCATTGTACTGTGTGTCTTTTTCACTCATCTCACAGCAATCTGAGGAGCTGGGAACTAGATTAAATTGTCTTGTGGCCTGGGAGATAATGGATGGAAGATCAATACCAAAAACTTGCGATTCTGATGTCACATAAGTAGAGGTATTGCCTAAGTTAGAAGGGAGATAATCACTCTGAGCTGAAGATATGGAAGAGTTCTGGTCCTTTTGTGTCAACCTATCACTGGAATGTTCAAGTTCTTCAGAGGAGACTGATTTGGTTTCATATCTAGCTGTCTTGTTTGTATCCATACTCTGTGCAGGAATAGTGTAAGATATAGGAATGGAGAAGACTTGTCTTGGCTTAATGAAGAAACTGCCTCGATTAGGTTTCTGGGAATTTGCCTTGGATGTTGAGTCCCTTGTCATGCCTGTTACATGTATCCCTAAACTTTCTCCAGAACTGTTGTCAAAGTTTGAAGTCCTTGTTTCTGAAGAGGATTCATTTTCAGAGTGGGTTGCAGTGACAACTCCACTTTCTGGCTTCAAATCAATGTAGATTGTGCCTTGTTTTCTACTGGCAGGCCTCCTAAAAGAGGCATCCCTACTGCTCATCATCCGCCTCCTGTTAAATCTTGTCCGCCAGTATGAGGGCATGTGTTTAGTCTCCATGTGTCTTTTACGCTTCTTAGGAGCCACAGCATAGCAGCACTTTTTGAGACTCTCATGGGTCCCAGGAATGACTGTGACCCCACATTTCTGACTGGAACAACAAGCATCTTCTCTCTGTACAACCTCTTCTGACATGTTTTCTCTGTCCTCAGAGCCTGCCTCTTCCACTATACTATCACTACAGCTCTCAGGGTATGAGGATTCAGGATTTCTTATGTTAGTTTCATTAAAATTGTTTGAATTAAACTGAACTGGATTTACCATAACACTTGGTGGGGGATTTTCAATGCTGAATTGTGCTGGGTTTTCTCTTGTTATTGTCTGAGATTCAATTTGTGAACTGTTTGGAGATATGTTAAGTATAGGAACTGCAGGATTATCAATAGTTGAACAGAGACCACTAAGACAGCATTCTGACATTTCTTGTGTGGTTACTTGTCCAGGGAGGAGGGGCTTCTCTTCAACAGAGTTTATCTCTATACTATCCGGTGATACTCCACTGGACCTTGTAACTAGATTTACTGGGACATCATCGTTCAAATCCAAAAAGTCATCATCCCTTGACCGGGATGAAAGGATTCCATTCCTGTATGATCCATTCTCCAGGAAAAGCTGCAGATTGTGGGAGATTCTCGCATGCTTCAGAAGTCCTACAGCTGTCATAAATCCTTTAGAACAAGTGGAACACAGCAAACCTAGTGTAAAAGATATCTGTTCTGATGAGACAGTAGCTCTTGTTAGACTAATGGTTTACACTCAAACTAATCTAGGAAAATGCTATTCTTTAAAAGTGAAACTCTTTCTCCTTCATATCATTCAAAAAGGGGTCAAAAGGCTACAACAATTTTCAAATATACTGAAATGTTTTAGAGTATTATTTCTATTTTTTTTAACATAATTGCTTCATGGTTTATTGAAAGGAATCTAAACATTTATATGGTCTTACTCTCAGTTGTCTATGTAATTATATTAATGTTAAATATAATACATTAAAATACCACTGGCTTAAATATTTAAAATTGTGTGGTGTAAAATGTATTTTCACCTGGTTCTGTTTCATCACAGGAGATGACATCACAGTCTTTCTTCTTGTGCTCAATAAATGTTACTATGTTCTTCAGAGGGAATTCTGATAAACATTTTCCACATGTAAGGTAGTCATTGGAATCATCTGAAATACAAAGAATGCATCACAATTGAGGAAATTAGGCATATTTCTTTACACAACTTTCTCTTCACAGGAAAAAATATTTACAAATGTGATTAATCTGCCAATCCTTAATAATTGAAAAACAACAAGCATAGTTACATCACATATATAAACTGTTTCACATGTCTGTGGTACTTCTCATTTTCAGGGCAAATTGGGGTTACTGTAATTTTTCCCAAAACCAGAACACCCCATATATGAGTGCCCCTAAGACCTTTATGGGCACCCAAGTACATGCATGAGTGCTCCAAATTCAATTCATGAGCGCCCCAAATCCATTTCAAGAGCACCCCAAAATATGCAGCTTTTCAAATAATTGAACACTTTATGAACTAAACATTGACAAATTATATTTTATTTTCCTTCACATGTTCTTTCATATATATGCTGCCATCAATACTCATGAAAGCTGTGCAATTGTTTATAAAGGTAACAACATATTCTTTCAAACATAATCAATGAATGTTTTGGGGTTCTCATATGCAAAATTGGGCACCTGTAAAAAATTTGGGGTGCTCTCACATGGAACATTCTGGTTTTGGGGCACAGTGACTAGCAGCCAGCAAATTGATATAGTTTTATGAAATATGACATGATGGCAATTGCTAAATAATTGTCATTTAATTATTTGCCAATAAAAACTTTGTCAAAGTTATTAATTAATTTGCAGATCTGCAAAAGTGTAGTACCACAGTTGTTGTGAAAGCTAGGGCTAGTTGATTCATTTGTCTCGGTATCAAGCTAGGTTTAATCATTATAATTGAATTAACTAAATAAGTTATTATTTTAAAACTTTCCTTCAAAATGTAGGTTTTTCCAATAAACAAAAGAATAATACTGAACATAATCTGATCAGAAGAATCAATAACACGTTATTTAAATTGTTCTATATAACGTTAGCATTTACTTTATAATTTACATGTCATGGTATTTCACATATATTTACCAGAAATATAGATCTAATTATAACAAATTAAAAGCGTCAACATTTATAGTTTTATCGATTACCCGTGATTTCGCCCATGACTATCCTTTCACCTCGTCGTTTGTCTGATTCTCATGGCAGATAAGGTGATCGGATTCACGTAACACACACTTCAGGATCTTGTCACACGGCACTTGTTTTCCACTCCTCAAATTAGTGTGCAAAACTTCTAAGAATATGTTGAAATTTCTTGTTTACGTCAATTATTCGGATTTCCTGTTAGTTGTTTCTTTCTCTCCCTTTAAAACTCAGACAGTTTTATTTGTAACCAATATTATATGAATCATAAATAAGCCTAGATACCTAACATGAAAATAGAAATTGAAACCGGAAGCAGTTTGCTAGTTATTGAACTTCTCCGCTGTTGCAGATTGTCCAGTGCATGCACTTTTGAGACCGTTGATGTAAAGCAAGAGAGTCCATTACACAAGTAATTTTTATTTAAAAAAAAATCATTGTTTTCTTTTTTAGAATGTTTAGAATTCCATGATTTCCCCCTTTAAACGATATTGCTGGATAACGTGCACCTGCCGTTCGAATTTCCTCATACTTTGAATCCAGCACACTTGGTCTTCTAGATGTGGCATACTTATTGTATGATTTATTCTTTCTCAACAATTTAATGCTATGATGAGTTAATGCTAAACTATATTTACACTCGTGTGTAAATCTCGTATCTCAAATCTCATATTTGTGTTCTTTAATATAAACAGGTTGGGCACAGCCCACCAAACGGTCATTTTACTCCCGTTTGGTGGTCAATCTCCCATATCGGAGTCGATATTTACTGACCATTTGGGAGAGAAAAATGTTTGTGTTCAATTCAATAGAATGGCGCATAATTTTAAACAATGTGGAATAAAATATAGATATTGATCGGTGTTCTGAATGAAAAAAATCGGAAATTCAATGTGCAATTTTTTGCGCAGTCGTTCAAAAATTTGACAAAATCGTCACATACGTAAACAAGTGCAACGTTTCTCCGCTTTTACTTATAAAGAAAAATTCCCGCCAAATCCTCAACGATGTTGCGCCTGTGAAACATGTTCCTTACTTTCTACTTTGATTATCCGGACAACCAATCAATAATGTAAACCATATGATCTTTTTTTAACCTGGTCAAAAGTCGGATTTAACTACGGAGGCACATTGATTTTAAAATTAGGAAATAAAAAGAAAAATAAGTTTTCGTTTTTTTTTTCATTTCATTTTGTACGCAATGGCTTTGTTCTTTACAAAAATAGACTTATCGCAAATCTCACTTGAAAGTATAGACTACGACAGAAATAGCGTTGCATTGAATGATGACACTATTGGATTTGACAATTGAACAATTTGTATCACGGGTTACATTCTATAAAATATGCGTTTTAATTGGTTGATTAAGACCCGCCACTCTTGTGTGGTATCTTTTGCCTGTATATAGTTGGAAAGCATTCAACAGCCTAGCAAATAGCCATGTTTGATGGTCAAAAAGAGATGTTGACTTTTTTGAACTAAATAAAAGAAACAAACCATGAAATCCTATTTCAGCATGTGACATTCCTTTCACAGATGGTACATGCATATTCTTCAGTGACACACACATTTATATATTTGCCGATTTCCTCTGCAATAAATTGACATTCGGTGGCATTTTCCATTTTCAGTTTTCGTTAAATTGAATAGTCTGTGCGACTTTTCAGCGCACTTAAAATCACTCTCTGGTTTAGTCCTTAGGGATTGTAAACAAGTAAACTATTACATTGGTTAGGCAAACCCAAGCAAATTGAAAACTCTGGTATTATTGTAAAGCATACCCAGCGGATACCAGAGCACATGTTATTGAAAAAAATATTTTATTATTCTAAAGTTTACTGTTTTATTGCCACAAATGTCAAAAAATACCATATTTCAAATGTTTCTGTGCTACTGCATACCCATTTTAACGGCCGTCATGGCAATAAACAGGCCACTTAAAAAAAATCGAAATCCCTGTTTTATTTTCAGTGCAATTTTTACTTTAACAACGAATATTATTTATATATTCATTATAAAATAATAAAAATCTTATAGGCCTACACTTGCATGTTAAAAAATAAATAATAAAACAATATTCACTGAATCTAAGTACGTTTAATTTTATTGATGAACTGATGTACTGAAGAAGAAAATGGGGAAAACGGCTATGTTTTTCGATCGCTGCCCGGGGTACATGTGTATCAAGTCAATTCCTGCCAGCCCTGGCACAGATTTTATTTGCAAGACAATTTTACAGTTTACCAACAATCACAATTTTATAATAAGGTATTGCATCATCCCACTTCTTCACCAAAAGAAAATACCTCAGTATTAAAGCACAACTTTTTTGCCCGTTTTCTATCTTTCTTGGAAACATTCCACGTTTTCGGCAATACATTTTGAGAATGTGGCGGACCTATAAAAAATGCACCAATCAGATTCTTTCTTGGATTTCGCAGTTGTATGTCAGTCAGATTTAATTGTATTTCAGTCAAATTCAGTAGTGTCGTCACTCAACACACATCACTATTTCGGTTGTAGTGTATACATTCAAGCAAGATTTGCGATAAGTATACAGTGAGATTATGATATACCTAATTATTGTTTTAAAACAATGTACTTGGAATAAAAACAAGCATAATTGCAACTGCCACTTTGTAAATCTTTTATTTATCAAATATATTAAATTCATCAGTAATATGCATATTAAACTACAAATGGTCGCATGGAATTTGCAATTTCATTCTAAAAGAAAAATAACAACAAGTATTACATTCAAGTCTAATAAAAATTGAATTTTATAGCAATAAGTGCCCACCATACCAGTAAAGTGTGAGGAGCTCATGTTCAGTGGGATTTTATGGAGATAAATATTGATGAAGATCCAAAGAGCAATTAAAAATTGACTTCTCAAGAGTTAAACCACTGGATAAAATAGAAATTTTAAAATTGACTGAACTATGTTAATTGTGCAAGGAATGTGTTCACTAGAATTCCCCGATTCCTGTGCAAATGCACTTTTGCTTTATTTTAATAAAAATTGGAATTTGGAATAGAATAAAAAAGACCACCATTTGGTCAGTAAAATTCATCTCCCATATGGGAGATTGACCACCAAACGGGAGTAAAATGACCGTTTTGTTGGCTGTTCCCAACGTGATGAAAGGAGGAGGGGTATCATCAGTGTTCAAAATTAGCATCAGTCCTGCGCCGATGTACAAACAGAATATGACTATTTGGGTCCTTGAAATAATTTTGGGTTGATGATGATTTGCCGGGAAACAAGATAACGTTGTTTGCATCTTCTCAGACCTTTCCGACAAGGACGGAAAAACACACATTTTTTTCCCCACTTGTCGAAAGGCCCAAGAAGTTGAGATAATGTTTCTTGGTTTATGCATTTGCATTAACTTTTATATCTTTCCTGCATTTTGATTGGATGTATTAAACAAATTGACCAATGAGCGTCTTTAAAAGAAATTAGATTTGAGTTGGGTAAAACTAGTTATTTTTATCAGATCGTATCAATTCTTCTTTTCATGTGCTTTTTAATTGAATACTGAAGATTTAATTTGTTTGCATGTTATAAATTTACGCTATATGTACACAGTTTAGGCTGTCCAAAGTTAATTTTACGTTTAACGTCACCTCTAAACCTACGAGGGAGGGAGGAAAAAAATAAACAAACAAAAATTTTAAACAACTGTGAATTTATTCAAATCAACTTATTCAGTACATAAAAAACACTAATGGGCATTAAGAGTATTTGATTTGATATCTAAGTCTAATTTCCCAAACAGAGAATTTTTCCTTAATAATGCATATTGGTTTGATTCCTTTTGTGAGGAAGCAGTGTAGACAGAATGTGCAGAAGTGTGGCTTGTAACTAGGCTTAGTAGTAATTTTGTCCATTGGATTTATATCACCACATACATGGTACCCTGTACGGAAATGCTTCTTCTCGTGGAAATAGTTGATCAATATCTGCAATTAAAATCATGATGACAACATTTAATACATTCTTTATTGAAATATCTTGAAATTGAACTATGAAATTTTTTTTTTCTCATAGTGTTAGCATTTGGTTTTGAAAGTTTAAATACAATATTTGTTTCATGTACCACTTTAGCTGTTTAGATTATTTTACCTTGATTTCCAAACACATGACAGGATTCTTCACTCCTTGGAATACACCAATTCCCTTCCTTACTCTCTTTCACTTGAAAGGTCTCACCTTCTGTAAACTTCTCCCCTGCTCAAATGTCAATGACTAGTATTATTTTTCCTTAAAACTGTGGCCATTTGTAGGTACATGAATACTATGTTTATGATTAAATCAACTTACTGTTCCTTACTTTTACAGGAATATTTTAAGATGAAGCTGTTAAATAAATTTAAATGATGCAACACAAAAGCAAAAGCTTTGAAATTCACTCCAAATACATTTCTTGTACATGTACCTATTTATATATTTTAAATATGGATATGACTGATTATATTTCAAGATTATTAGTCCAAACTCCAATAGCTGTAAACAACAGATGGTAGCTTTTTCTTTTCTTAACACTTTTGAATCATGCATTTTATATTGAGACCATATAAATTACTGCATGTAATCACAATGTGGCTTGATTATCTCCATCCTTGCAATGCCAGCTAGGGGTCCTGAGTCAACATGTTGCCGTGGGACCCCTGGCCAATATCATTCAAATAATATATTGAATATATTTTTCTTGTTTTATCCATTTAGTATTAGTAGCATGTCCAAAAAGGCTTCGATTTCAACTATATTTACATTACATGTTGTTTTTATGCATATGTAACATTGGAGCATATGCATATAATATTCATACAATGATCATAAAATATATGCATGCATTTTATGATATAGTTTTGGTGTTGATTATTAAAAACAGAGTTGTAAAATTCACTTAAAATGCTTATCAACCTTTTGGTTTCATTTTTTTTTTTCCATAAAGCTTGGTACAAAGTATGAAATCATCCAGATTCTTAATTTTGTTAAAAAAAAAAATTAAATGTCCAACAGCAAGTTTTCCTCTTATGTTATATTAAGTACATACCAGTATCTTAAATAAGTACTATCAGAGACTTAAATTTTGGTAACGGATTCTTCACTTTGTCTGCATCACCAGGCCATCTTCCCACAAACTCAAAGCTCCTAATTTGAATTCTGCACTTTGATTTATATCTGTTGAAAGTGAAAATAATTTTCAAATCA